GAGTTGAGAAAGGAAAGGAAAAAAGAACGCGAAAACGACGCGAGATTGTTTTATTGGTGTTGAACCAAAAAAAATAATAATAATAATTACAACGCGTCAACAAGCGGTCTGCCCTGTCAAGATTTTCGTTCACCTCCGTGTCAATTGGATGGTACCCAATCTAAAGCGCACATAGCCATAGTAAGCGAAAGAGTACTGGCTATCACCCTTGTTAATTATTATCAACTAGCAACAAATGAACGACAACGTGAAGAGGATGTAATTAGTAGTAATAGTTTTGTGGAAAGAAAGAGTTGCATGCATTCGAATTTCGTTCCCCAGTATTAATGCCTTATTAAGCAAACACAGACAACACCCTATGACATGCCGTTGCAGGCTGCTGATCCTGCTGAAAAGAGCATGCTTTTTACATATAAGGTCGAGCCGAATAGCGTTACTGCTTAGTGGCAGCAACCTTTCAGGGCTTCTGCATGCTTTTGACATCTCTCATGTCGTCATTGTTACATACCCCATGCCATGTATTCGGATCCCACCAAGCTATTTTTGAAAGAGAAAATCACTCATGAACACTCAGTAACGTATTAAAAAATGAGTATAAGGAGGAGGCACTGCCGAACCGTAATTACTAGTGCGTACTCGAGAAAAAGAGAGGAGTTCTTATTGGTTTCCAACACACGTTTTCTGTTATCGTACATCTTATTAATTTTATGGCAATTGAGTGGACGAGCTCTCCAAACGACCGCGAAGGCACGACTTCAAAGAACATGCATTCGCTGACCCCCCTTGTTACGGTACCAAAAGAACGTCATGTTGCTCATAACGTACTTTCAATCTTTTTTTGTTGATTCAAAGAACAAATGATATGCATGAGTGCACCTAGTACAAGAGCACAGAAATTTAAAAAGACCTACCCTCGCGGTGCTTGCATGACGACACAATTGCAGAATGAAAATGGATCGCATGGTGGTGTAACAATGTGTGGAGTTATGAGGATTTCAAGTCAATGTGGTGGTACGAACTTGGCGATTGTAACTCACACACTTGGGGTTGTCCAGGGGGAATGCTTTATTGATCCATGTTAGCTTAAATTTTTGATATGAGAAACGATAGATAGTAAACATGGCGATTACTTTTAGATGAAATAGTGAGCTTTGTATACGGTGACAAGAGACAAAGTCATGACGGATGGGGGATAAGCGGATTGCTTTTCTTGTTTTGTAACGGAATAGCTCGAATGGCCTTATTTTCGATTTGCATAATTTGCATAATAGCGTGTTCGAATTCCACCTTTCCAAGATCCAGGTAGTTGTATGTATGCTTCACTATTACCAAATGGAACGAAAGACACCTTGGCTGTTGATGACCGGAATAATGGAAAAAAGTCTGAAAGTAGATCGACCCAGTACGTTTGTTTTCTCTTAATGTTAAGACGCTTGTACTTGTGCGAGATGATACTGTTAGTTTTTTAAAAAATAGTATGGCATGAACGGTGTGCAAGAAGCATCTTCTAGGTAGATTGAAATAGCATCTCTGCTTATGTTTTGAGAACTGGTTGCCTCGTTTATGATGGTCAGCGCGAGAAAATTTAGAAAACCGAGTGCCATGCATACACCAGCAGGATATCGGATGGCAACATAATACTGACTATGTAGTATATAATCCATTACTAAATGATTTCCGCTAATCTGAAATTACACTGTACATCAACGGTAGCTGTATGCAGCTAAAATTTCAACAATAGTATAATAGCAGATATTCCTTGCAAATCTCGCTCCAACAGGGTTTGATGTATACTGGATGATCCATTGTATGTACACAGATAATCAGCAATGTTGCCATAGTTATAGTTTGCACACGTGATGCCGCAAGTATTCTCGCTTTCGTCGCTTGAAATCGTGTCGATTATATCCCTATTTCCTGCACTTCTTATTTGTAATTCGCTTATGCATAACGCTCAATCCTCCCGAGAAAAGGCTATCAACTCTTGTTTCAACCCATTTGAATAGCAAACGTAACCCCATAGTATCCAGACTACAGCTTATGTGCCAAAATTAAAAGTATTGATTTGATTCTTGAAACAAACCGCTTTTTTATTTAGATGGAAGTAACGAGCTGCTTATTTGTTCTGGACAATGCCATCGAACTATATATAGAAGAAACAGTTAGTATTTTAAAATTTGTTGCACCATCACAAATGACTCCATTTTTTACAGATTAACGAATGAAAAAAAACAAAACTTACGCGAGACTTGAACCATTCAACGGACTCCTCCTTCTTGATGCGGTGGTTGAAGCCGACACGGCTCTTGGTGTGCTTGCGACGAGCGACACGGTTACCACGGCGACCCATGACAATGTAGTAGTCCATACCGTAGATACCAATGGAAGGATCGTACTTGATGCCAAGGTCAATGTGTTCGTCGATACCGAAACCAAAGTTGCCGGTGGCCGAGAAATTGCGGTTGCGAAGTTCGTATTCCTTGACCTTCAAACCACGTTCCAAGATTTCCTCAGCCTTGGGGCCACGGACGGTAACGTGAACGGAGATCTTTTCGTTACGACGGATGCCGAAGGTACGGACGGTATAACGAGCCTTCGAGTAGACGGGTGTCTGACCGGTGAGCTGTTCGAGCACCTTGGCAGCACGGGTCAATCTGTCACCAGATTCACCAACGCAAATGTTGAGCACAAGCTTCTCAATGTGAAGCTCACGCATGGGGTTCTTCTTGACCTGTTGTCCTTCGGCGCTCTATATATCATAAATATCAACCCATTGAGTTTAATCCATCCATCCTTTCATCGATTCGTTCATCCACCCATCCATCGTCCCATCTATCGGCTCTTTTGATACATTGGCTTGTTTCTCATCTTTTCGACGTATACATACCATTGTTTCAGCCTTTAAAAGAGGAGGATTCCTACTTGGAAATAGGGCTAGACTTGACCGTGCGATGCGAGTGGCAACTCCGCCCCAAGGTATTGGATTCGCTGGCACATTTGGCAGGCTGCACCTCAAATTCTTCCTCTGGTTCCTGGTTTCACCCCCACCACCTATCAAAGTCGTAGAAGGACCAACATTGCAACCGTCGTTACGTTGCCATTTATTGAAATTGTCAGGTCATTCGATACTTTATGAATACTAATGGCTATCTGAACTCAAGGTTTGCTCTTTTTGAATTACTCTAAAGCGGCCCTTCTTTTGAAGATGGACAACAATTGCAAGAGCAAAGCGGTATCATGTATCTTATCAATGCCTAAGCATAATCTATCAAGAACTATTCAGTGAGTTTTTGAAGGTTTCTTAGTTTGAGCAGTAAGTGATAAACGCTCAGCGTGCTCTGCATTTCCTATACACGTGATACACTAATTATAGATAGCATAAGGAAGGGCTGGTTTACACAACCTGACCATTTAGGCAATGTGTCTGTCACGCTTTTTCCGAGATCGGTCGGGTGCGTGTCGTGGCATATAAAAATAACTCGTGATATAACATTCGCTTCTCCCTCCCGTTACTTTTCGTAAAGACACAAATGAAGTATATTTGAAAGCTGTGTAATCAACAAGAGCTGACCGCGCATTCCTCGTTGCATTGCAGTGACAATAGTACAGGTTTGTTGGTTTTTAAGATATGACACGGGTGATATTTAATGATGAATGACAATTGTAGATGCTGTTGTAGTAAATGAATATATGCTAGGTTAAACTGATTTTACATGATAGAGCATTGTGGTTCTCGGCCATTCGTGTATAGCGTCCAGGCTCTCCCCGTTAGCGCTTCCATATCCATCATGGCTTGCTCTTTTTCTGACTCTTTGCGCTTGTTCTTGATTTCTCGTGGGAAATACATCATTAAAAAGTTCTGCAAGCCCCTGTCGAGATTGGCAGCATCTGCATTTGCGACTGCATGCTTCCTCCGACACACAGGACAGTCGAGAAGCTTTTTTCGATGCGCTTTGATCAGACATCGTACACAGAACACATGTCCGCAATCTAATCTGATGGGTCTCCAAGTGATAGCTAAATGATTGGTACATTGATCAGCAATGGAAAAAAGGCAACAAGCGATAGTTGTCATCACAGTTGATGAGCAGTACTCACAAAAACAGATCGGACAGCTATGATCGTCAACTTGCGGCACGATGGATATGAGTTTGGAAGTGATGGTTGAGTATAGAGCGAGTAGTACGTTTTCGACAATGGTCACATTGTCCTTTGCAAACGTTGGGAATTCGGTTCGGGCTCTAGATTACGTATAAGCACGAGCAAAGTCATTAGCGTTTTTCATCCATTGAACGCAGCGGGGAGCTTTTACATCTATCTAACTGGTATAGATTACACACGTTAAACCACTTTGTTTGTCGTGTTTCTTGAGGATCTTTGTCATTGCTGTGTGGTTCAAAGCGTGAAAGCGTTTAAAGTCGGCGAGCTCAACGTTCATCTGTACAAATCGGTTGAGAGCTTCTCGCGCGTCTTTCGATCCGAGCTTGGATACCTGAGCTCGCAAAATTAGCGCACTGTGGCTAATCATTATCACTAACAATTTCCGTGAGGCCACTCACCAAGTTCTGTCGATCAAGCTCTTTGGTGAACCATTGCAACTGTGCTTTACTCCGTTCAAAGGATTGCATCGTAAAATCGCCTTTCCGGGCTTCAAAGACAGACGCATCGATGTATAATTTGAAAATGTCACGCCATACGTACATGTCCTTTTGCTTCTTTGGCGATGCCTGTTGTGGAAAGAAATAGAAACAGGGGAAGGCTGTAACGATGAGATCATGCAGAGCAACAATGGAACGTGCAGAAGGAAATGTTGGTATACCGCTTTTGCTAACTGCATCTCCAATGCATCCACTTTGCCCGACAAGCGTTTTTGCTCGGTCGAATGTAGGAGCGCTGCTTGCGAGAGTCCTTCCAGCAACATGTGGAAGAATTCAGAGTCTTTGACCAGTTTAATCTTCAGCACAGATGCTGAACGTGTGGGAATAAGGTCGGGTATCAAACGTGCTGCAGCGTCGTCGACGGTGATGTTTATGCAGGGTTGTGGGTCTTTGACGTCGCCTAATAGGAACAAGCTTTTTAGTCAGCTAAACTGTCGTTGATGTACATACTGCCTTTTTTTTTACCATCGAACCCATACGAAAAGTTGAGCTCGCCACCGCCCTTTTCGATGTCCAAAAGACCCCTCGATCGTAGCTCGGCAACGACCAAGCGAATGGCTTTCTTTAATAGTTTGTAGTGAATCAGATACGGGCGCCAGTCGGATGGCAAGTCGTAGGATGCGCTTTCGATCTCTTTGGCAAACTTCATCGTTGGTAAGGCATAAGCACTGGAAAAATAATTAGTGGAAAAGAGGAAAAGGGAAAAAAAAGAGGATACACCCTCCCCGCTTCCACAAGTAGTTGCTATTTTGAGCGCCCCCCATGTGATGTCCCGCCAGCCAATCAAAATTTTTGTCCAATTATGGTAGAAAATAAAGCCATAGCAACATAAAATCTTTTGAGCGATCAAACATCAGGCTAATCGCCTTGGTTCCCGACCGCGGAGGTTCTTCCGGTTTCACCCACAGTTCTCGCCCTGAAGGAAAAACTTCTTGCCAAGTAAAAAGGATAGTCTGGACAAACATGGATAGGAGGCCATGTAGAGGTGCAAAATGAATTGTTTGTTGTTTACATACGGCGCGGTGAGTATATCTGAAAGGCGTCAAATCCTTACTTTTTACCCGAGAAGCGAAGAGGTTTCAAAAGAAAAAAAAAGAAAGCCAGCACATGATATGTTGTTGCCTTGTTACTATGCCATGTGGCTTTTTTTTTCTGTGCTTCTGAGATGGACCATTCCTACATGACCTTCAACAACAATGATCAGGTACCGACGTTAACTCCCAAAATTGGTAGGCACTTTGACTGTCAGCAAGGATGTGTAGTAGTAGCACGAGTAATAGGCAACCAGCTGATGATTGTGGCATGTTTCTGCTCATTACGGCGTGCAGATGACTTGGACGTTTTCGCAAAACCAGACTCTTCGGATATATTGGAACTAATAACGATCATTTACCAGTCTTCTGCTAGTTGTATATCATCATCTTGAATCGATGGGCGGTTTAAGCATTACGCTGTTATTCAAAGTTTGTGCTACCAAACGTAGTTTAACTCGACTAAAAACTGATTGGGTATCTATCAGCTACACGTATGCGATATCTCTTGAAAACGAGTTTCTGTCTGTTACTAGTGTGCGTCACGTGATGACCGATTGTCATGTAATGATAGCAACTGTCGACATAAGACACGAAGAAAATATGGAAAATATTGATAGTTAACGTGACACAGATACACAAACCAGTGTGTCCCACAGAATACGAGCAAGGGACACTCGTTTTTAGCCACTTTTGCCACAGCAAGCCATGGTTATTTGTACTCGACGTATAAAGTTGAGAGTACCCTACGTCATATATTCACGTATGTGTGCGTAACTGTTCTGGACTCAAATGGCAGCACAACAGCAGCAGCAGTAACAACAACAACAGCACTATCAACAGCCAGTACCACCTCCAACGCAGCAAGTGCAGCCTATCCCGCCTGCGACCATGTCATAACAACCACCACCACCATGTCCACTTTCATCTACCGCTGGTGTTGACCCTCAGCAATAACCACAACAACAGGCAGCCATCACAGATCCTGCTGCTGCATAAAGCCAGTTGGCGTAGATCTTGCAGAGCCAGCACCAGCACCAGCACAAGCAACAACAGCCATCTTACCCACCGTCTTCGGGTGGATGGACTCCTGACCATACGCCACAGTATTACTGATAAACTGATGAAACAAGACGGAATGTGTTGTTATATAAGTGTAAAAATGATATCTTTTTTCAAAAAATAAAATCTTAATGATAAACATGACATAGAAACGAACAGTGGTACTTGAAGTATATATGTTGTGCTCAGCCGAACCACTCCTGTAGTTAATTACATCGGGGGGGGGTATGTTTGCTTTGTAACTTAACGGTATAAGATATCGTCATAATCCAGTTGTGCAGGACCGCTTGTTTCAAGTACGGTGAATTTACACCATCATCATGACGTAGTAGTCGGTTATGGGATTGCTCATTTATATTTCGGAAGCTAACAGTTTATTATAATCTTCGACACCCCTGACTTGGACTATCTTAAACCTTCGGCATGCGTGCTGCATACGCACAGGCCAACGGTTTATCACACTCAACGTTAAAACTATCCATTTAAGGAAAACAGAAATCGGCAAAGGACGTTCGAAGCGATTCCAACCATGACTACCCACCCATTGCAGCTATCATTCTCAGTAATCATATTCCAAGACCGTCTCATGGATTTACGTTTTGGCCACCCAAAAGGCTATGTAAGCCCCCTAAATGTTACAGCCAACCTTGCCTTATATAAGCTTATTTTTACGTGCCACACTGCATGGACAATGGTCTCTTTCTTTCTATTAAAGTAAAAGGGTGATTCTTTTGTTTGCACGTACAGTAGCTCTTTTTTTATATACAGTGTGTGGCACCAATGATTTAGACTGGGATCGAATGGATTAGTTTAATGATACAATGGGGACACATGTTAGAATGTGTGTATAGTTTTTTTACAATTTATTCGATTACATACACTGCTCGATTGACACATACGTCAGAGAACTGTGACTGATTCTCGGAGCGTGCCATCAGTCCGTCAATAAGTGTGACGCTATCCTTCTATCGCTCATGTATTCGGAAATTCTATTTGACGTTGTATCATTTGCCCTTTAGAAAGAAAGCTCTAAGCCAGCTGGATGTACCTGCTACTGTATACATGGAGCTACTAATCCAACTAAATGCTATTCGTACTTTTCAAATTGTATAAGCAAAGGTATGTCTGTATTTTTTTTGTAAATTTTTAAGTTTTTTCAGAAAAGCATTAACATTGTGACGGGGATGGGGAAGGGCTACATCAAAACAAAGCACCAAAAATGTGTTAGAGCAGAACAACTAACAAAAGCACGTGAAAAAGAAAAAAGGAAACTTGCCTCTTCTTGCCCAATTCGGGGGCCACTCGTGTAAAATAACTTAGGTCTGCAGGACTCATCTTGCTGCATGACCGTTGAGTTGCGATACTTTTCGATCAATGCGACCTTGCCTTGAATATTTGCGTATGATAAGGAACAGCGCTTATCTGAGTTAAAGCGGTTCCTGTTTGTCATTGATGTTGTTGCCAATATGTCATTGAGAAATTGAGTACATTAATTTTTGGAAGGTGCAAAAGGAGAGAGAGAGAACAAGCGATGCGATAATACATACCAGCGTTTGCCAATAAATTTTTCCGCGAAAGTGATGGCAAAGCTATTTATAGTACACGTAATCATATGTAATTAGTGGGACACTCCACTTGACAATGGGAGCAACGGTAATGTCAGCAGCAGCAGTGAAAAAATATAATGAAGCACTTACCCAACGTCGGAAAAGTTCACAAACGCGTACCCAAAGTTGCGTTTGCGTGCTACGTTGCACGGCAGGTATAGGAAATCATACGTTCCCTTGTTGGTTGCGTCGATTTCCTGCTTCAGCATTTGCTAAACCAAGTATGAGATAGAATAAGAGAGAAAAGGTCCGTTAGGGATTTGTCGAAGATTAAGCATAGTATGTAAGCACAGAAGATGGAGATGGATTGCAGTGACAATGAGAGGATTTGTTGGTGGGGACGAAACCTACCGCGGTGTACTGAGTGGTATGTTACATATCATCAAGGTTGTTCGCGAATCCCGTCCTAATGTTGGAATTTGGGAGCAAAGTACGCAAAGACAGTCAATAAATGTGGGTAATCAAGACTTGATTACATACTGTTTGGGCAGCGAATGGTGGCAGTGGAAAGAAAAGAGTAAATAGCACTTACCATTGAGAACAGCTTCGAGATCGAACGTGTTGACGGACATCATTGAAAACAAAGTATTTTAATAAAGAAAAAGAACAACTCAATTCACTATTCTTCTCCAGTCTCTTTTCCTTCCTTCATATATTCAATACCCGACCAACCCATTACAAATTCCAAGTCCCATATTGCAAGTCCAACAACTGTATCCAGAAAAAAATATGCAAGTCCAACCAAGAGTATCAATAATGATCTTTATTGTTGACGAGAGGGACGTGCATTTGGATTGATAGTTTTTTCTATGTCTGTGTATAGCCTTTTTTGTAGAACAATCATATTCTCTAGTTGTGTTGTAGATATGTTTGTTTTGTTTTTTGCAAATAGATTATCAAGTTGATTTTTCGAGCGTTCATATTCAGCGAGCAGATCATTTCTATGCTGCTGCTGCTGTAAAGATGGTGGTGGTAGTTGCACAGATGCTGTTAATGTTGTTGACGACGAAAATAATCAAGATGATGCTGGTAATGATGATGATGACGACGATGATGCTGTTGCTGTTGAATGGCGAGGAAAACTTTGGTTTATGATTACTGGAATGGTGGTGTTATATGCGATAAGATATATATGCTTGCATGGCTGGTTACGCTTTTTAAAGTCTTCACAACCACAAGAACCAATAACGCCATTGCTATCGGTTTCTTCAAACTTTAGAGTATACAATGTAGAACTAGTAAGAGATTGACAGGTAACCTATTGCCACAGTACGATCAGCAATTGTAAAAGTAAAGCACACATACAGAAACGATACATACAGATCATCATGAAAAGTTATCATCCGGTCAGCTTCATCTGGTAATTTTTTGCAAGCTTCTTTTTTCCTTTGTTGAGCTTCTCTAGTCGCTGTTGTTTCTTCAACACCAGTTAAAACACGCAGGACTTGAGCACGATAGTCATTTTCGACCAACTGCGTCAACACATAGATTACACGATCAGCACGATGATTGCGACTGTATGGAAGATATTTGCGCTTAAGTTTGGAATGCCAGCTTTCGATCAGATTATTTGTATGGAAGGACGCATTCTAAATATACAACCGTAAATAACATTGAAGCGCAAAATAAAGCTAAAACGAGCCTTAAACGTACCTCTCTCCAAGCCTTGCACCAAAGATGATGCATAGGATACCAATAGTCCAGCACATAGCCATAAAATTCAAAATGCTCGTATGTATCTCGCCATTTTTTACCAAATTCATCCCAAGCCTGCACAAATTCAACGACGGTTTTGCAATTCATCAAAGCACCAAGGGCAGAACGAGCTTCATCTCTTCTTTTCTTCGCATCGGCTGTTGACAGAGTAGTTTTGATCTATGACCCAACATATAGAAAAAAGAAGGTTATATTGAATATACGATAATGTGGCTAACTAAAAGGTACCTTGGACGTGATGTGCTTTTCCCATGCTCTTTTGATGTGCCAATGACACAGAAGAACTTGAACTTGATGACCATAAACTGCTCTGATGCTGTTAATTTCAACTGGACTGCAGTCGATCATGATCCTTGTTGGTGTGTATTCGATTCTGTCTCGGAGCCATCGAAACCATACTTGCAAATTTTCACTATCTTCTTTATCTGTGATCATAAACGCAAGAGGGTAACCTTTTCCAGTAACTGTATGCTTGGCAACGATAGAAAACAGATCCGCATCAGCCCGACCATTGATGATAGATTTGCAAATCATGTGTGTGGCATCAATACAGATCTCATTTGATTTCTTGAGCAGCTATAAAGTACATACGCATCTTAATATACGAACATTGCATTATATTTAAGTATATATCTTTTCTTACCAAAGCTTGTCGTGGTGATATCCATGCAACAACAAAAGTAGAATCCGTGATATATTCAAACGTTTGATAACCTTGATCTTTTAAAAAGAGAAGCCCACTTGACTACACTTTCTTTATCGATTAAATCTTTTCTTGCTAATTTTGACTGTTGGTTGGCGATGATATTCATGACATGATGCTGCTTCACACGTAAGGCTTCCGGGAACGGTCCTTCGCCTTCCTCGAGCTGATACCACAGGTTAGCATCTCTACAAGTTATCATCATAGTTTTGCTTTACATGTATAGATGATACTTACACCTTGAAGTTGTTTATCAGTCAAACGCAGATGTTCCTGAATTTGATCCCACTCCAACTTGTTATTGACAAGTTCTTCGATCCATTTACGTGTTTCAGCGGGGAGTTGTGAGCGAGTAGCATTGGTTATCTCGGTAGGGTCATGGTGTTGATGTTGCCAGTGATATACAAGTTTGATTTTGCCTGAGAATAAGTATTGAATACGGTATCGAGCACGACAATTTACTTTAATAGATGGTTTTGCAAGTCGACGTTTTTTTATGGGAGCAGGTTCAGTTGAGTCTATAAGCAGAGCAGGGACAGCTGGAGCCGATGTTTCTCTTGAGTGATCACAAAAAAAAGTGACACTACGTTCAACTGTCCGAGGACGGCCGGCATTATTTCGGCGTGCGTCTGAAGCCTTGGGTACGGAGATGTACTTGTTGTTGGTGATGAAGTTGGCATGCTGCTTGGGGTTTTCTTTGACCCACTCGTCAAGTTGTTGCTGGTTGTCAAACGTCTCTGTAACTACTTCGGTCGGGTAGGTGGGAAAGACACGGACAAGGTATCTTTGACTATCAGATGCAGAGGCCATTGTTGTAGGTGAGCAATTGACAAAACAACAAAGGTACAGTTGCGACGCGTCGCTGTGGGAACTTGACTCTGTGATTGTTGATACTTCCGCTTCCGGTGCTGTCCACGCTCGATAACATTCTGCTACAATTGACCACTGAGCACCTCCTCCACATCATCTTTCGCCGAGTCCCTCAGCGTTTCCACCGTTTTATCCAGAACGTCAACACCATCATCTACAACCGACTAGCGCTTTTTTGAGATAGTAAAGTAAAATTCGCGCTGAGAAATGTTGGGTAAATAGTTTACCCGAATAAAAACGCGAACATTCGCCGGTCAATTCCGGGGAAATGTTCATCCGCACATATGCCTATCAACAAGCATCATTTTTTTCGTAGTATCAGTCATGCCATTGTTTATGAGTATAAACTGGTCCCTCCGCTTCGCTGCGTGTCAGCATCTGTCCTCCAGGGACCAGTTTACTGGGGCTCTGCCCCAGACCCCGGGTGGGGGCAATGCCCCCTACCACCCCCCTTTTACCTTCAAACAATGCTGAAAATTTGTTCTGCTTAACAGAAGTGAGAATGGTGTTTTTTATAATTTTGGTCTTGAAGTCATTGTCGTCACTGCACTAAAAATGTCTAAAGGCAATGCCTCTTTCAGATTAAAATTATGTAGCTGATTACTGTGTCAGTTACTCGAGTTAATGCACTCCGAACTCTAAGACGATTCATGTCCAATACCCGGACAATCCTCGCAACTGAACAGATCGTGTTCAGTTTCTTCGTAAAATTTACAGGTCAGAATCTTAGAGGTGGAATTCACTTGCTCTTGAAACGGGTATTGGACAATTGTTGATGTGGAAATTCTGGGACATTATGAAAGGTGTTGTTGCACCCTAAACCTAGGTCGTTGTGTTCGCTCTATCATACTTACTAAAAATGTGATTGTTACACCCTAAAATAAGCACGCTTTGTTCGCTCTACCTACTAAAGATGTGACGGTACACCCTAAACAAAGCTCGCTTTGCTCGCCCTACTTACTTACCAAAGCAAAGACCCGAAATTCTATTATTTGTTACGATCTAGATGCTTTTGCTAATATGACATTGATAATTATATTTGCAGGACGTTCCCTCCCGCTGACCCTCCCGTTAGGGCGCTGCCCCGCTCTAAACCCGAAGCTCTAAAAGGTGGGGCAGCGACAGCAGGAGAAGTTGGTGGAGGCGAACTGTTGATCATAGGCACAGGTGATCATGGCAAGGTAGTAGCTATAGCGAGTATTGGAGGAGGTTTGTTTGTAATCTTTTCAGCAAAATTGCATTATCACCAAAAAATTAGTAAGTACACAGTACCGCAGTTGATAGGGTTAAGTGGGCATTCTCTATGATTACGCCTACTGCCTACGATGGGTGCTCGAGCCACAGATACAAAACGTAGGCGCAAAAGTTTTTACAAAAACGAACTATCTGTAGCTTTGTAAGCAAACAGCTGCAGCAGTAATATTCAAATACACATGGTTAAAATATGCGTTGCCTATTCTACTGAAACACTGCGAGAATGCACTGGACATGGCTCATTGCGATCTGAGCCACAGTGACAGGCATGATCGGTCGACTGCTTTATCGAGAAATGTGCAGAAAAAAAATAGTTGGTAAATTCGTAGCTCATCTAGAGCAGTCTGTCAGAATCCCGGCTAACGGTGGAAAATGCTCAACGATTTTTACAGAAAGACCTCAAATGTCGTTGATGGCAGATGAAATCAAGTAGCACACCTCTTCGGAACTCATATTGAGAAATGCAATGTGGTAATAGTCTAGGAAGACGGCACAAAGTTGAAGTTTACCCAAGTCTCTCAGGAACGTGTAACGTTAAAAAAGCATGGCCGTTACAAAGTGAAATTTCCAAATCTGGATTTTAGCTGGGATTAAAATCGTAAGCACCCTTCCCTATGTCCGCACGCACACTATATAAAATAACACGCCATGTGCTGTAGCCTTTTCTGTTATATTATCTCGACTTCTCTACCTGCATTATGTATAAAATGTTTTTTTATGGAGCCTTCCATCCCTGGACGGTTTTTAGCATCTTCTCTTGCAGTGTCCATGCTGATAATATCTTCTCTGTATCTGTCTAATTTCGTAACATGACATGTGCAACTACTGATATAAACACTCATTATTAGATACTTACTTTTGATCTTGTGGTCAAGGTAGAAAAGTTTGGTTAGATATATAAATATGTAGAAATAGAAGGATAAATAATAGAGAAATCTAAGGTCGAGATAAATGGAAACTATAATGAAAATTAGAGATAGCGAGTGAATGGGTGGTCTTCACGCCACGTTCTTTGTATTGTTCGTCTGGTTCAATACCCGCCGAATACTGTCAAATATTCGGCGAGTCTATCAGTACGAGTGCGATTGCGGTCGACTACCTCGCGCTGTCGTCTTCCAAGGACTGTACGATAATTATCGATTCTTGCTTTTAACTCACGAAGAGTATCTGCAATCCCTTGCTCGGCATCGCGCTGCCTCGCCCAATCATCGTCGTCTTTTTCAGGCAGGGATGGTTGTGGTTGCGATGTTGCGGTTGTCGCAGTCGACATGGATTCAATAATGGTTCATCTTCTGAGTCAGAAGAACGAGGTAGGACGAGGAGTTACCAAGCGTGTGCCGTGCTCTGTATTTTCGCGTCTAAATGGCGAAGTACGTACAAGAGGAGACGGAGAAACAGTTGATTGCATAGTTGGCACAGAAGACGTAGTTGTAGTAGTAGGTACTGGCACTGATGCTGATGGCGGATGTGATGGTGGTGGAAGGATGGCGTCAGGGATTTCCACTGAGACACAAGGAAAAAAACGAGGCTACAAATAGCTAAATAAGATTTGTCTCTCATTTGGTGGGAGATCAAAAAAAGTAAACTTCTTCTATTTGTACAAGAGGCGGTACAAGCTACGATGAATGTAATACTCGTGTGCTTCAAATGGGCTTGAGAGAGAGGGATTGGCGCGGTGATAACGACTGATCAAATGTTTGCAAAGCATATACCGACTAGCAGCAAAGGACGGGCAACAACAGGTCCAACGGTCCAGCGATACATGGTAGTGTGTGTCCGCATTTTGCGAATGTTGCCCACTACGATCTTTAAGCTTGCGCCATTCACGTGCGAATGCAGCTAACCCAATCCAATGTTTCGCGACGATTGACAATTTTCAAACAAAAATTGTTGTGTACGAAGGGTGCCTGCCTCTCAAAGATAATCCACACATGCATATCCAATCGCGGTCTGGGCGTAATGATAAGGAATTCTCACTTAAGAACCCTCCACTGAGCTTCGATCATCATCGTGCTTTTTTCCAACGGGATAGCTTCGGGAATGCTGCTTCGTGCCCAACTAACCCACCATTCAGGAGCATACCATCTCCTATAAGGATACACCCAAGCATCAGGCAGGGCGAGATCCACGCATAGGTTGTACATTTTTCAACAGCGAGAGAATACAACTGCTGCTCGTTTTGGGTGCCAACTACATTTTTTTTTTGATAATCATTATGATATGATTTGTGGATCGACATAATGTTCAACCTACTTCCTTCGAGCGCAATTAAAGGGTGCCAAGTATAATGCTTTCGCATCATATCTACGATGGCATTTCGATTTTCCAGGTCACTGCAAAAACTGCCAGTTCTATCGGGCTACTACCGCACGCTCAATGAGCGTAAGCCGCACGGTACTAAGCCCAAAATCAAATTGAAGTTAGGTCCGTTCTACTTGGGAAATACTAGAATTGGTAGTTTGGACGGAAGAGATGAATACCACAAAGGAGATGAAAGAACGATTCTTGAAGCTATTAAAACCCGTGCGTGATATGTTGATTAAATTGATAACATATATTCAGGACGAGAAGCATGCATGGAAGATGCTTCAGTACACTATGATGGAAAAGGGCTTGATATCATAATTTTTGAAAGCACATGATTTAAGAGTCCTTTCGTATAGGCAGGATAATTAAAAGCTTGACTATGGACTGCGCTGGCAACAGCATGCGTCGCATGTATCGTTCCTATCGTCACACATTCTTTTAAGATGTGTCCGCGTTATCGCGCAAGCAACACGACTCCTTGAACCAACTACAGACGTCAAACAGAGATGCTAAGGCCATCGAAGGACTATACATTAATATCCCACCGCTGCCATCCTTTTTACAGATGAAGAGGAGAAAAACCCATGTCAGTAATGCTCTGTAATTGTCATCAGTCATTAAGTATCTTAAAAATAAAATGTCTGATGTACCAGTGACAGTGCTAAATGCAGCACCAGTATAATACTTCTGCACCGGTTAAGCGTGTACATTGATGTTTCCGTAATTGCCTTGTAGCAGATATTGCTGCTATAACGACATATCATTTAACTATAGGATCGGGCCATTATGAAAAATGCATTAATGTTTTCTAGTTATTATACACCGCTTTGTTGAGGAGGTAAAGGTTTGATCCTGTTGGAAGCTCTAAGCGGATAGTCATCAATCCAAGCGAGTCATACGGTAGTTTTCTGGTATAGGATGAGGATTAGTCCGTCCTTTTACTTTTATTCATGATGTTGATGGGGCAGTAACAACAATAATGACCGAGCTGCAGTAACCCACGAAAAAGAAAAACACCTCATGTTTTTTACATGATATTTTTTCTCTTAACTGTGGGACATATAAAAGTGACCCGAAAAGTGTGGGGCCACGACGACGGGCAACCTCCCCACACCTCCGTCCCTCCTAAATCCAAAGGTATTACTAACAGATCAAACACGCAATTTTTTGGTTCGGGGAAACCCAACCCAGTCATTTCAGCCCGCGTGCCCGATATTCTCGCTTGGGTCTCTCTCTGGCTTTTTCCAACTTTCAGCACACTCAACTCACTTGAACCGCATCCATTTCCAAAAAAAACACATCCTTGACATTTTCTCTTATAAGACGCGATATACAATTTCTAGGCGCGACGTACTCCTACTCCTTGAGCTGCATTACAACAAACATTTGGGATTTATTGTTACAAAACAGCATACACGCAACAACTACAACAAGAAAAGAATAGAACCTAGTCTTGTACCATTACTCTATTTTTTCTTGTTCTTTTTTTTCCAACGACACACACACACACACGCATTCAAAATAATTGATAATAAATGGGAAACGTCTCCAGTTGCTCGTGCTGCCAAGACTGTTTCGGAAGTAAGTCTTGATACACATTCAGTTTTCCCTTGACACATGAACATTCAGCTCCAGAGTCATTCATGAGAAAAGCATAGAACGGAACCGGACAGGCCTATATGAGCCTCTGTTACAAGAAAATGAACGTGAGGCGATTGCCGAACTACTTCAATTTCTTGAAAGTAAGTGTGTGCTGTATTTTGGAGGTGGAGGCTTCTTGGTGGTTTTCTTTTTTCTATATATACATATCTATCTATAGATACACATATTGATCGATTATTAAATATGCATCCCTTTTTAATTATACTCTGGGGGCGACGTTGATTTCTTTTTCTTTTTGCTAGATCGTAATCAAACCAACTTCTTCGAAGGCGAACCATTACGAGCATTATCGACGCTAGCTTTTTCTGATAATGTGGACTTGCAGCGGTCCGCCGCGTTGGCATTTGCAGAAATCACTGAGAAAGGTATGGTAACTGATGTTATTTGGGAGAATACGAAAGAAAAGAGAGGAGATAGTCAGAGAGAGAGAGAGAGGGCTGGAAAGGGGATAAGTATAAAGACAATCAGGTGAAGGCTGAACTTAATTACTGCTGTGGTCGACGTATAGATGTCCGTCAAGTGGGTCGTGATACGCTCAATCCTATTCTTTTCTTACTACAATCGCATGATGTGGAGGTACAACGCGCAGCAAGTGCAGCGCTAGGAAATCTGGCTGTGAACAGTAGGTAGCAGTATACATGAGCTCTTTTAGCAATGGTGCATGGAAACAAAAAAACCCCTTCTCACCTATTATGGCAAAACCGTAGCGGAGAATAAGCTGCTGATCGTCAAACTCGGGGGTCTGGAGCAGTTAATTCGTCAGATGGGAAGTCCGAACGTCGAAGTACAGTGCAACGCTGTAGGCTGCATTACAAACCTTGCAACACATGGTAAAAAAGAAGCTCTTTTTGACGCCATCATCAAAAGTGGTCCTTGGGAACGATTTATTCCCCTTTCACATCAGAAAATGCTAACATTAATAACATGTAATTAGATGAAAATAAGGCAAAGATTGCACGATCGGATGCGCTTCGTTTGTTGGTAGATCTGGCACGATCCAAGGATCAAAGAGTGCAGCGTAACGCGACCGGAGCATTACTTAACATGACACATACCCGTACGTTGTCCATTTAATGTACTCGTACAGAAAGAGATAGTTGCTAAATGTCTATATGAATATCTAGAGGAAAACCGTCAACAGTTAGTGAATGCAGGTGCAATCCCAGTCCTGATAGGGCTTCTTAGTTCGCAAGATGCCGATGTCCAATATTACTGCACAACAGCTTTGAGCAATATTGCGGTCGATGGTAAAAAAATATACTAAGCAAATGTTGAAGAGGACATGGCGGACGGGACTAGTTTTGGCTCACGTATGCATTTATATTTTTGGGTAAAACTAGCTGGGAACCGGAAAAAGTTGGCACAGACCGATTCGCGCTTGGTACAATATTTGATTGCTCTCATGGAAACCAAGAGTCTCAAGGTCCAATGCCAAGCAGCGCTTGCACTGCGTAACCTAGCATCTGATGGTAAGTAGCATAGTGATGACTGTTATTATGAGTATCGAGGGTGGAAGGTGATGATCATTCATGGTTTATGTGTGTATAATAGAAAAATACCAGCTCGAAATCGTCAGATGCAAAGGCCTTACACCTCTCCTTCGTCTTCTCAAGTCATCTTTTCTTCCACTCATTCTATCATCTGTCGCATGCATCCGCAATATATCCATACATCCAGCCAACGAATCACCCATCATCGACGAAGGTTTTGTCAACCCGCTTATTGAACTGCTTTCCTACGACGATAACGAGGAAATCCAATGCCACGCAATATCTACGCTTCGAAATTTAGCAGCAAGTTCTGAACGTAATAAGAAAGCCATTGTGGAAGCAGGCGCGGTTGAGCGCATTCGGATACTCATCAATCAAGTACCTCCAAGCGTACAAACGGAAATGACGGCTGCGATTGCCGTGTTGGCACTTAGCGAGGAGTTAAAGCAACGGCTTCTCGGCATGGGCGTGCTTGAGGTTTTGGTGCCACTTACGTCAAGTCGCAACATGGAAGTTCAAGGCAATTCAGCCGCAGCAATTGGCAATTTGAGCTCGAAAGGTATGAAAATTGGGGCTGCCTTTTTCTCAAAATATGCTGTCATAATTTTAATTTACTAACACACCCACAATCACGTGTATTTAGTGAAAGACTATTCGCCCTTTGTGCAAGTCTGGTGTACACCAGCAGGAGGTTTATGTGGATTCCTGGTACACTTTCTCGACGAGGGCCAAGCAATCGCGTTCCAGCATATTGGCGTTTGGACTATCGAACAATTTCTTGAAGGAAACGGTACGATGCTCTCACTACTTCCCCCTCCCCCCACACTCGCTTCTATATCTATCTGTTGAATGACTTACACACATCTTTTATAGATCCCGAGCTCGTGTCAAGAATTGCACAGTCAGCTGAAATTGTTCAGGCTGTGCAACGAATTGCCAAATCCGGCGAACGATCAAAGCAAACCAAAGCTGAAAACGGCGATGATGGAAGTGAAGATGTAGATGGTGACATATACGGTCTAGCTAAGCGCGTTGCAAATGCCCTTTCTGATATAGAATTCGGCAAGAAGCAATAACATCATGTCTTTTTCTTTCCTATTTTCTTACACACGCAGCACAACCATCATATTCTTTCTATCATTGTCATACTATCCCACATATACACTATCTCTCTCTTCTCTCTCTCTCTCTATCCCCCTTTCACTACCATTATCGCCTTGTCTTTTCTCCCCGTCTTCCGATTTACTAAACACATTTTTTTTACATGATCATACTACACTATATCTCTTGCGATCAAAGTATATCCTTTTGGACAATTTGGTGTTGCTGGAGTAAAATGCGTGCTGAAAATAAGACGTGAAGAGAACATGATATTTTGGATGGACCTGTCCAATGTTGTAGATACTGGTGTTTTTATATGATAATCAAAGACATGTGATATAAGGTCAGTACTAAAAAGCTACTGCACAAAGAGCCCGCAAGAAAAAAACGAAACTACGTACAAATATGGTATTGGAGATAGATAATTATGAAATTAATGAAAATAAATAGATAGTTAGAAGGGCTGGAGGAGCGAGAAAAGAATATGTTGTTGTGTATAAACTCTTAGATTTCTACTTTAGACATTGCCTGGGTGATGTGTCAAGTAGGTAGCTGAAGATGTTGTCGATCCATCATTAAACGTCATATCTGGCATTCGGTACCGATGTTCGTCTACAGGAAAAGTCGGGGAAGTATTGCGGGGCGGTGCACGCGCAACACTTGTCATTGCGTTATAGTGTATCTGTTCTTCTTCGATCCTGCTACGCATTGGATCGTTTGCAAAGTCGTGTCTGTAGTAGTGACTGTCGGCCTTTGGAGAGCCCAAGTCGCCTGATTGAACTTTTGATCTGGCATCACTTCCTGTGAGCGTCCAACCGCTCATGATGCTCCCTCTGCCGCTTGTTGTCCATTTCGATTCTTTCTGATCTTGCGTTGAAGCAGCACCCAGCGTGACACTGTTGCCATAGTTGGACGTTACTCCTCCTTGACTGGCAAATCGACCAGAAGAAATATTGCCACCGCCACCGCCGCTGGACGAGCCAAATGCAGAAGCCAAAGTAGCAAGGCGTGGACTTGATTCGATATTGACGCATACATGCAGATCAACATATTAGTAACGATTTGGCTTTTCCATAACTTGATAGAAAGATTTAAGCCAACAGGACAATAAATCATGATCCACATACTTTAAGATGATAGCAAACGCAATAAAAGCTGTGGCAAGAGCGCCGTCATAGGTCCAAATAGCCGCAATAGCACCATTATATGCCTTGTTGACTGTGATGGGAATTCTCAATGCTGCATACAGTCCCAGTATAACAGCAAACACGCCAAGACACAAGAATGCAGTCAGGACAATGATCTGCACTTTGAGCGCGCCAAGTCTAACTTTATCAGCATTGACACGACCGTCGGATTTCTCAATCAAATGTTGTCTCAAGAGTCGTAATAAACGAGTGCCGGCGTAAAGAATGATGATGGCAAGTGATCCGGTGTAGAACGTCCAAAAACAGTAAAGAGCATCGGTGAACTTTGTCGCAAGAGGGATGTTGCCTTGCAAAGCGTATATACCGGCTGCAATGGCACAAATGTTGTTTGTAATGAATGGCAGGGCGATGATAGCAACGCAAATACCGTCGATGATGAGTGGCGACCGTACCCAATTGTCGTAGATAATCTTGCTGCTCTATAAAATTTTAGTTTAATTTTGCAGCAGGAGAGCAAAGAGCACACGATGATTTGTTGGGATGAGCAAGTAAACTTATTCGGTTAGTTCTGGTAGCACCATGAAATATAAACTTACATCTGAGAGAGTATGTGCGATACCAAAAAGATAGCATGCCAGAGCTCCAAACCCAAATTGCCAGGGGAACTCAAAGAAAACTAATCATAAAAGTAAAATTTAGGCAAACAGTTTTTGGAAGAACAAGTCATCTTCCATGTCCACAGCGATCGTCGTTTATAAGCGATCTTTCTTTTCTGCACGTTACATGATCGAAAAGCTACATTAGGTATGCCGTCCACCACCAGAATAATAGCGTGCGCCATTCGTACTACCGTGCACAGAGTGAAAAAAAAGAGCAGTAGAGTTAAATTAAGTGTCTCGAGAACTACTGTGCACGCGCGCTCTTTTTATTGTCAGAATCGTACAAAAGTTAAATATTGTTCCCATCAAAGCCATTGACTCGATTGGTTTCGGACGAGGAAATCCAGTTCGACAGTCGAGAATGTCTTGTTTCAACACAAATACTCGATTATATGTGATCCACATGGCTAAGTAAGGGCCATGTTCGATGATACGATTGTTAAAATGTCTTGATGAGTAATAGATTTTTGATGCGCATGACTTACCAACGGAGCCGACAATACCGGATAACACTGCATTTACAATGTATATAGTCTTCATGGTGTCGTCTTGTTCGCAGCCATGTGCTGTTAGACGCCAGTCGCAATGACATACACCATCCGTATCACAAACTGCCCAGAGGCTGGTTTGCTCTACATCCCTCACATCCATGATGATGATGATGAGCAAAAAGACAAAAGAAGGTACGGAGAAGGTAAAAAGAAGAAAGAGGAAATGAATAATGGGAGGAAAAGGGAACCGTTAAATTAAATGTGTACCCTTGGGGATTGACCGCGCAATGAACAGCACACTGTCCCACAAACTCTACTTTTTATATAGTGGGAAGCGCTCAGGTACATGGCCTGAACAAGCTTGTCAGTGCAACCTTATGATACCCACGTCGGGATTGCCTACTCACCGTATGAACTCAGCCACCCCTTCAAGACTTTTCTGTTTACTATACTTCCTTACCCCACTCGAAACAAAATGGTATTGCAGTGTCTGATCTGCAAGGAGCAAACACTTTGAAAGACAATCTCTGTCATGAATGGAGTTGCCTATTCTTCTAGTTCTCCTACACCCCTCCAGGAAAACTTGCTGACTTTTTGTGCTGTTGCTATCAACAAGCATCTGTTGTTAACAGAGAGATAATACATGCTGCACGAAGGAGAATTTGAGGTGGGACCGCATTAGTCAGATACACTGCTTGCCCACTTTGCTACAAGCAGTGGAACTAGACTATAAAATTACAACCTCAGGAAAGAATACCAAGAAATTTTCGTAATATTCAGTTTATTATTTCCTGATTGTGTCGTCGTGCTTATGTGCACTGTCGATATACCGCTACTGCTACATGTATTAACGTCGGACATCGGATCGACCAGAACTCGTTGTATACATGCATTATGTGGGTCATATATACCTACCTACTAACGGGAGAAGAGTAGCTATAACGCTATTGTGACCAAAGAAAGGCAGCAGAGTAAGGAGAAAGAGGAGGCAAAAGAAGGAGGAAGAACCGGACAGAATCAGTAAACTAGCAATATGCACCAACTCACTCTTTTCCCTTTTTGCTAAAAGAGCACTCTATCGGAGGTCCTCAATATGCTTCAATGGAAGAAAGAAAATGATGCAACTGACATTTTCCTGGGTTGTGGTCCTTGCTTGTATTTACACTGTATGCCCTTGCCTCACCCCACCTCCCCTCCTCCCTTTTTCGACGTCAATGTCCGAAAGCATTCTGTGAGGTACTCTAGTAATGAACAATTGTTGATGATGATGAAAGGAGTGGCAATCACTTTGGCAAAAGACCGTCAACACGCCGCCACACATAAAAAAATCATCTGAGCTTTGATTAAGGGAAAATAGAACTAAGCTGTACATAAAAAAGCTTTGGTAACCCAAAACACACTTTCCATTGTATGATCCTTATACGGTGATGAGCCACACACAACCTGAAATCTTAATCGGCGTACGCTTATTACTGATATGATTATGCTTTGGACACAGAAATAGCGGGTGCAAGCATTTTTAGTTTACACATTATTGATAGCATTTTAGCTGTACGTAGTTAGATAGAAGGGGAGCAGGACTCCTATAAAAGCTACCCGTATTACCTATAACGCAGGGTTAGGTGAAAAAAAGACAGCCACTCTTACGTAGTACTGCATAAAAGACACGTCATATGTTCATTATAAATTGTTATCGAGGCAAAGTAATGGTATGTATCATTACAGCAGCAAACACACTCTCCATTTCAATGAAAAGAAAAATGTACTGTATCCAATACACAATGTGCATTCAAAAATGATAGGAATGGCTCATACAAACAGTGGCAGCATCAATGACATCTAGCGCTTATTAACTATTGCCATGACATTCGATGAGCTATTTGTTATGTGGTGGGTTCTTCATTGCTTGCAACTGGCTTTATCTTATCTGTATATGAGTACTTGGGAACTCGTTTGTTAGTCTCTTTACAAGGACAATTCTACAGGCTTTTCCTATGGCAGCTGGTATATACTGCTGAAGATCCTAAATGTACTCACTCTACTCTCAACATTCAGCTTAAAGTAGTGGGCGCAAGATAGAATCCTGCTTCAAAAGTTGTAGCGCACTTAGCGCAGGTAGTGTCTTGTTCCTTAGTTGCAATAATGTTTCGGAAGACACAAATACAAAAGTGCAAAAGACCTAATCGGGAGAATTTATGCGCCAATGACAACAGTGCGAAAATGGCTATATCTGTCAATCATCATTCTGACACACCACGGATCTTTATGGAAGAGCCAGCGGAACCTGGGTTATCCGAGACAAAGGTTAAAGGTTACTCCCTTTGGTATACACATATATATCCAGTCACCGCTTTATTTATGTGTTCAGCAGAGTGTCATCTTCTTTCACAAGACAACGCTGAGGAAATAGTGAGTTAGGTAACGCCCACGTCCATGTTACATGAAGTTATGATGGAGTCTAAAGAAACGTATATATTGCTAAACGATACTCAGCTTAGTAGTAAGTAGTTATTCTGACACCCCCAAAGTTCGTGGGAATATTTTCGCTATTAGCTTGTTCCTTTTGCCTCTTCAATAAAACCATTCTTTTGTTCTCGTAAATTACTCTTTTTGTTCCTTGAACCTTCAAACTAGCTCCCCTTTTTTTTTTTTTTGCTTCATGACCAAGGAATAACTGCTTACTACACTTGCACTTCAGTATAAATAGACAGGATCGGGCGAACATGGCTAAACGATAAATTTTACAAGCCACCCTGTGCACACTAATTCGCCCTGATTTCGGGTGTGCCCATTTACCAGGGATAGCCGAGATAGATCAGCGACAAAAAATTTACTATCACCGCCCACCCGTCGTGTTTTGTTTGATCCAGCCGTTTGCCCCAAATTGAAACAGTTATTAGGCAAAAAAAAAACTGTTGGCATCTACGTATATTCACAACGAGATATGCTATGTACTTGAAGTAAAGAGGTGGACAATGTACAAAGCATTACTGTATATGAAGCTAGATAGGGACTGTTTTAAGGCATTGATATAACCATGTGGTTCTGCTAAACAATAAGAGAGGATAAGGAATAACTGTTATCCGAGAAACCGGGCACTACTTCTTTACCTCATCGGATATGATTATTGCCAATGATCGTAAATCTGATTTAGGGAGTAAGTTTTGACACCCGGTTTATCGGATAACCGTTTTCCATTCTCCATACATATATATATAGAGAGAGAGGAGTGGCCACTTTGTTGTTGTAAAAAGTCTACTACTTGCTACTCATTACTTTTATCTCTACTTTTTTACTACTTGCAAAGCAATAATAAACAACCACCACCACGTCGGTACACTCCATCACTTGCAGTCTTATGACCCTCCACATGCTTTCATTACGATTCCTCAAGTTTTGGCACCACAACGTCGAGCCTACTACTACGGGCGACGATTCTACCAAAGTAGAGCACAAGAAGAAGCCTTCTACGGCGGCGGCCAAACGGACCCCATCCTTGCAAAAGTTTTTGAACGATCCTATGCGCAATACAAGAACACCAGATACCGTTGGTAACTACAATGATCCAATGAGCATACAGCGTGATGGACGTTTGGTGGCAATGCATTACGATTGCACCAATACAGGTGCCTAAACCAGCCCAGTGGATTATCATCCATTTATCCTCGAAAACGATGCTCGTATACCCCACTCTTCTCTCCAATTGCATGTACTACATTTTTTTTTTCCGTCATTCGTTTCATCACACAACTACGGCTCATTTTTATACCATCTTCATCTACTACTTATTAATCATTACTATTATTATATCGCATTATCAAATAAATACTTTTGCTCCTATTGACATATCACGCGTGGTTCTGATTACATAGCTGACTTTTGCTGGTGATCACTCACCTGCCAACTCAGTTTTTTGTAAAGTTGCTCTGAAACACCACTCTGAAGGAAAGAAACTCCGTTTGCATATCTCTCTCTCTCTCTCTTTCTCTCTCGCGCAGCTTACTGCAGGCAACTTATCATCCTACCTTAACCTTATACATAAATAAAAAAAAACCCCACCTTTGCTGCTATTCAAAACCTAAAATCCTCATGCACTTACAATGACCAGCGTGCAACGATCACAAGGGTACAATTACGAGGACTATGTACCAGTACAAAACATCGTATGTCCCATTTGCGACATGCCGTGCACGAGCCTGCAAGCCTTAAATGTGGTAAGTAGTCAAAAGAGGACCTCATTTTTTAAACTTTAAAAGGAGGGAAAAGAAAAGAGGATCCAGCATTGTTAGAATTAACATTGTGGATAAATAGCATCTCGATACCAAACATACAGAAGAAGATACTACTGGCGCACTACTATCCTGGTTTCGCACGGCCCATAAAAAAGTCCAAACAACACTCAACGCGTCCTCGTCGTCCTCTTTATCTGTATCCCCTCGCAGCCCGCCCTCGGGCAGCAGTAATGGCAATGCCGTCGAGCGCTCGTTGAAACAACTTATTGACCCAGCAATTATGAACAGCTTCAGCAATCTCAGTTTGGGAAATGGAAGTCCAACCTATTTTGCTTCTGACCAAGATAGACAGAACGAAGTATACGTGACTCGGGAGCATTGGCAACGAGAAGGAAGCCACGACTCGTGTGCGCTACCAGGATGTGGTAAACGAGCAGGGAAACAGCATTGTCGTCAGTACGTATATCGATAAACTTCAACAAAACGCCCCTTCCGACGGTTTTTGGGTTTGTTGCTCACAATCCATCATTAATCTCTGTGTGTGTGTCTTTATTTTTTTTTTTTTTTGCAATGCATTAGGTGCGGCAAGCTTTTTTGTGATCCGCATATGCAATATGAAATGAAATTAGACGCGCATGCAAGGCATGATCCAGAAAACGGTGTATGGTGCCGTGTATGTCGTGGTTGTTACATTGGACGGCCGGATTATGTGGAGCATCGTGGTGTAACCCGAAGCTTGACGGCGCAATTCCTGAAAAAACGATCAAAGACGATTGATCGTGTTCACTTGGAGAGTAATCGATTGGAAAAGCGGTTGGAAAAGGTAAATTGTGTGTGTGTGTTCCTCTCCGTTTCCATACATTAAATTCATCCGAGATCGGTCTGCTACTTTTTTTTTTTTAAACTATAAGCTTGCACGCATTCATCATCATGCAGATACTGGAGGCAGTCCTCATCGTAATAGTAGCCCTAATCCATCTCTTGCGAGCTTATCTCTCGAACGCACGGAATCAACGTCATCCAAAGAGAGTAGCCTTGGAAGTGTCATGTCGCCAAGATCAGGGTTTGTTTCGAATGGCAACAGTATTCTGAGCATGAAACTCAAATATCGAGGTAATAAAAGAAAAGCAGCAGCGGATGATTGGTTTTTCAAAAAAGTGCTTAAAGTGGACCTTTTATTCATGATAGATGGGGAACAGAGTGTGACCAAGTGGGAGGACGATAAATCAGTTGTTCAATGTCCATTGTGCGCGTACGTATAGTGATTGGATGTATCGCAATGTCAGAAAAAAAAAAGACACAGGGGACAACTTAAAAGTTGTCAATTTATTTCTATTTATAGGAGCACGTTCACTATAACAAATCGGAAGCACCATTGCCGGTTATGCGGTCGTATTGTTTGCGGCAATATTAGATGCTCCAAAATGATACCATTATTTATAAATATGTCATCAGGTACGCTATATCGGAAGAGGAGAAGAAAAAGTGTGTATGAATTCCAAACGACTCATGCTATGGTTGATGTAGATTTCTTTGATGAAGAGCCAGTGGGTGATACCCGTGCATGTCGCGACTGCCAACGTGCTGTGTTTAGGTAGAGTGCGGATGGTGTTATTCTCAAACAAAAATGAGTCGGGAATATTGAATTCCATCCATCCATAGACGCAAATTACGCCACGAAGAAGCCATGCACCCGATGCCCATTATACAATTATACCACCAATTAACACTTACTCGACAAAATATTGAGAAATTATTGCCACGATTCCATGATATCATTCTCATCATAGAGTAAGTGAATAAGAATAACGCAGGAGGAGATCGGTCAAGAGCAGGTGGAAGGGACTTGGTAGGTCTGTGTACTGATCGTGAATGTGTAGCAAAGAAAAGATAACCCATCAATCGAAAGAGACCTATCAAACGGCTGCCAAGATCCGCAAATCATTATTGGACAGTTTTGCATTGTATGACACGCTCGCCAAAAGTATCAAAACACTACCAGCTCGATCGCCTTCTTTCCGACGATTACAAGCCAACGTATGCACAGCAGCAAGCATGTATCTACAACAAAATATGCTACCGCTTCAAATGCTGCCACGGATTCTCAAACCGGAAAAGCATGCAACGAACGGTCATCATCAGCATCATAAAGCCAATGGCAAGTCATCGTCGTCGTCGTCATCACCACCTTCGCCACCTATGAAAAGACAAGACTTGTTATTACAACTCCAAGCATTCCAAGAACAAGAAAAGTTGGTGGAAGGGTTCATTCGTGATGCTCAACATGCCCGCAAATTTGACGACGTCAAAACTCTTAAAATTAGCATGGCTGAGCTGCATGATGAAATAGCACGGATCAGGTCGGAGCTTGGAGAATAGTCATTGGAAAAAGTCCTAGTGAGAGATGTAATTTTTTATATGTAATGGTCTCTCAATATTACCACCACCCTCACCGAACATGAGAACCTACATTAGTATCATCTTTTTTCGTGTTCCCCACCTATACTGTGTTTTACTATATTCTCAGAAAGGATCTTCATTTTGATCTCGTCGTTCAAGACAAACACAGATACATTTAGACCTATTTCTCCTTGCAATGGAAATAACTATGCGATATCTTGAGCTCGTTTTCTCACTTACTATGCTAGTAACCAGTAAATTTTTTTAAATGAGAAAACCAAGTCCAAAATGTATAGATGAGGCTATAGAAGTATCGAAGATGGTACATACGCAGACTGAAATGAAGTGCTTGTATTTTATACACAAAAATAAAAAAAAAGTGATCCTTTGGTTGACAACCGGCCTTTCAGCAGATGTGCCTGTTTTTTAAGCGAATTACTATTAAATCTATGAATAGAGACATCTTCATGCATTATCACTGTCATTATACGACGAAAAAAAGTCTTTTGTTATAAAAATGAGTACGCCACTTGTTTTTTTTTATGTAGCAAAATCAAAACCTCTCGGAGTACAGTAGTATCAACCCAACACCTTATGATCTATATCATATATTACATCGCAGTATGCTATAGTTGCACAATGAAACCAAACACGCGCATGCTTGTCCCCCGCACAACAGCAGGAAAAAAAAAGGGTCATGCGGATCTTGCATGATGGCGACGATCATAAAGAGTCATCTGTTAACTACGTAATGAGGCATATTTATATGCATATCGACTTATTAAGTTAGCAATATCTAATTATTGCGATATAACTCAAGGTAAAATGCATCCTTCTGCAGCAATGGCTTTAAAAGGGTGCAGCGCATGTTCCTTCTTTTTTTTTTTTTTGATTTTACGGTGATTCGCTATACTGGTTCAATCATATGATTGGGGTGCATTGTTTGTGAACATCCTTCTCTTGTCTCTGCTCATCGATTCGGTCCCGATCGATGATATCGTAACAGAGGCAGGTTATCTTTAAGAAACCATTTAAACGATGCATTCTTGTCGATTTCCACACAGCGGAGGTCGTGCATTAAACATCAGGCTGTTGTTATTAACTTAGACTTAGTAGAATAGTTCATTCTTGGATGTTTCTTATTTGTTTAATAGATCTTAATGGAGGATACCGGAGGAAGGTAGATCGATAAACTCTTTTCTTGACATCCTATTGTACAACTACTATTAGTAAGGTAGATTTATGGCTGTCTGATTTTCTTAATGCGGCGCCTGCTTCTTCTGTCTCATTCCTCCTCCGCTATCTTTTTACCTATCATGTATAGATCGGCCAACAATAAAACTTTCTATTTCTCATTGGTGGAAACATGCAAAGTGTAGTATAGAAGGCCCCTACAGCAAGATCTTACGAATAAAATTTGTTATTTCAAGAACCAATAGTGTGGCTATGAGCAAAAAAAAAAAAATAACCTAATTTCGATGATCGATATCATAAGTTGGAAAAAAGGTTGCATACATACTGTGTATATAGGACGCGTTTAATAAGCAAGTACTAGTAATATATACGAGTGGCAGCCTTTGGTGAGTGTGGTATTTTCAAAATAGCAGTGATATATATATATATATATATATATTTTACCACGGCCTACTTCTGTGCTGCAGGCACACAAAAAAAAGCAAGGTAATTCGCTTGGGCCGGAAGTGCAGAAAATGGGGAATACGAAACTCACACATCATCATCATCCTTATCCCTTTTTACCACCGTTCTTCAACTGCTCCGGCTGCGGTACACATCTTTACCAAATTTCTCTTCCGATTTTTCTTTTCTGTGCAACACTCTATCAACCAGAGCAATATACGTACCGTTGTGAATGTTGTTGACGACGGAAACAGAGTGATTCTCACAACGTCGTCTTTTTTCTATCTTTTTTTTTTTCTTTTATGGATAACATGGACATTTTCAGTCTCTGTCTCTCACGCACACGCCTAATAGAAAAACAACGCGATCATTTCCACAAGAGTTGAAACCTTCTTTTTTTCTGTGTTTTTCTGTAAGCTCCATCTGTTTTTTTCTCTCTCTCAAAAAAGATCATATGACCCCCGTTGTGATGGGCCTTGTTTTCTTTTCCCTGATGTGCTGGATTTCCTCTAAAAAAAGAAGACGTTCTTATCAATTTCGCCATCAGTTACATCTTTTGTTTGGTTACTATTATATTACCATAGGCACACAAAACAGTAATGTCATCAGCAGTGGAATTTCGTTCGCCTCACCACCCCCCCCCGCCCTTCACCCTCAGCCCACTTTGCTCATCACTTGGCACCACAGACATCATCACGTACTCTCGTTTTCCATTAGTAAGAGATCCAAGCAAAACGTTAATTTAGTTTATCCGTTCTTCTCCCCACACCCCCCGCACACTTTTCATCATTCTTGCATTATGTCCCCACACACACATAGGGTTACCAATATATACACGGAACTAGGTTTCTCAGGGTTGTCATTATCTTGGGGAAATGATCAAACACTCGGGTCCCCCGGTTCAGTTTTTTTTAAGTTTTCACATTCTTGAGAGGTACCATCATCATTATTATCACTCTAATCATCAACAGAACAGCAGCAGACAAGGATGAAAGACAACATAGTAGCCCTGTGATTGTTTGAATAAAGGTGTCATTAATCAAAGCACCGCACTGAATAGAATACTGATATGTGCTTTTCCTGCACTAGAATTGGGAAATGTGGTTTTTCTAATATGTAGCTTTTTTTCTAAACACTACTACTTATATAACAGATACAGATCTTTTCCTAAAAATCATAGAGTCATATAAAGTCATGTTCTGTTTGACGGACTCATTTATAGCGCATACATGTAAGGCTGCACATTTTAAGATGAAAAGGCGCTGATGTGTAGTAGTAGTAGTAGTAGTAGTAGTAGTAGCAGCAGTAAGCACATAGGTTATCGTATATCTTTCTTTACGCTTCTTTGCGAACAAATGCGCTGTATAAAGACAGAATGTTACATTGCTCGATACGGAGGGGAGGGTGTGGGTGCCCAGCTGCGGGATGATGGAGCTGGGCATGAGAATTAGTAACCTTGTATTACTGGTAGATTACAACTTGCATCGTTCTTGCGTGTGTGTGTGTGTGTGTGTGTGTGTACAAGTGTGTAGTCTATCTATGCTAGTAGTTATGCGGGTACTTGCGGCGACCCGGGGAAGGGAAGGAAGAAGTTCATGGGTCGCAAGTGTAACTAATCATGCCTGCGGTCATACAATAAGTAGAATGTCACACAAAGGCAAGTTATACAGGGTCTCCTGAACGTGCTTAATAAACAACTCGTTCGCTTTGCTAATTTATATATATTTCTTACAGAAAACATTACTGTACAATATAGAGAGGCTAAGGTTCGTGAAACGCAGGTATAAAGTAAAAAAGTTATGTGGTTGATCCGGCTACTTGATAGTACCTAGCAGAGTTGTATATTGTCAACAATCTGCTCATTAGATTTCTTTTCTGGGGTGAAAAGGGAAAAAGGAGCAAGTTGTAATTAAAACTATATAATTATTACACAGGATGGTTGTGGTAGTAGGTTCATATTTAATCCTTATTATGGGTTGTGATTGGACATTACTAGGTTGGGAGGAGGGGGAAAGTACAGAATTTGATCGCTATTTTTTTTTTTAAAAAAACACTATATATCGACAAGAAGAAGAAGAGAAGGGAAGCCGGGTTTATCTACAACAGCAAATAAGTTAGGAAGGGAGAAAGAAGATATTATGAGAGAGTATGTAAGTAATTGAGATTTAATGATGATGATGATGATGATGATGGTAGTAATATATGATATGGAAAGGAAAGAGCAAGTAAAGGAGGGATTACTGGGGTGGCTGCTGTTGCCTGTTAGGCGGTGAGTCCCAATAGACTGTGATCTCACCATCGCCTACAGACGAGTGCGCACTGTTGGCAATGCTGTGTTGTGAGTTCCAACTTTCTGTCCGCAACCGGCGTGGGTCGTCGTTGTTATTAGCCTGTGCGGGCGGTTCCTGTTCGACGACTGGTGATGACGAGATGACTGTGCGAACAGACGCCTTTCGTGTGATACCGCCTTCTTTGCGAGTAATTGTATTGATGCGTACCATTGTCGGTCGTGCGTAGACCACGGGCACCATTTCACCTGTCGTCGTCCTGGCACCCAATGAGGCTGATCGCGACAAGCCTTGCTTTTTGTTGACAGAGACTGCACGACGTAGCTGTACGCCATCGCCAAGTTCTTCTTCGTCCTCATCATCATCATCATCATCACCGTTGTCACTGTCTGCTGTCCGCCGTCGCTCCATCCTTGCTGGAGCATATGCATGTCGATGGTCGTATTTGGTTAATTTGACAGACGAGGATCGGTTGATGGTAGGCGAGGGACGTTGGAGGAGCGAGCTATTGAGGGTAGTTGATGTGGATGGCACGAGACTGAGTGATTGACGGATGGTGTTGGAAGATGCAGTCGTGGTGCTTGGTGGGGGAGAGCTTGGCGTTGTCGTGAGTCGAGGGATCTGGAGCGTGTTGCCCATAAACACAGGCGATTGTGGCGATGATGGTGGAGGTGCCTCCTGAAAAAACCCCCCATTGATTGATTGATTGATTGATAGTAGTAGTAATTAGTATTAAATTCACCTTTTTGATTTAATCATGTTTTTTTTCCGTTTACAGAAAATATTATTCACCTTGGGCCAGAACGTTGTATCGCTTGGCAATGTAGTAGTGGCAGGCAACACTGCAGCAGCTGGAGGAGGACCTAGTGGTTTATTCATAGCAATCGTGGGCACTCGCTCCAGTAGTAGCTGAGGCTGTTGCTGAGGCTTTCCACCGACACTGCCATTTTCTAATCCTCCTCCTCGTTGCTGTTGCTGGGAACGTCGTTTTCGTTTGTAATACACAAGACCGGCAATCGTCACGACAACCACTGCGGCCACGCCCAGCCCGGTTGTCAAGCCAGCAATCAAGCCTGTTTTGTTGCCTCCGCCACCCGTTTCACGATGACTGCCATCGGCAACACCAGCAGTGGTAGAACCGGCGTTACCGTCGTCAGTGCCAACGGTGGTTGCTTTGGTGGAAACGCCGCCGAGCGTCGACAGACTGACACATTGCGACACAGGACATTCACCGCAGTTTTTCATGACATTCAATATACATCGTTCGGTCGATGAACAAGCAGGTTGGCATTGCGATTGGCAGTGGGAAGGTTGACATTGGTTGTTTCGTTGTTCCAGTGTATGGTGGTGTTGTTGTTGTTGTTGTCGTTGTGATAACTGTTGCCCTCGTTGTGCAAAAGCAGCAGCTGCTGTAAAACTGAGTTGTCAATATTTATTTGTCATTTATTATTAAAAACTGTCAAAAAAAATAAAACAGACGGTCATAGGTTCAGGTGACCCCCATTCTTACCAGCAGATGGCGACATGAGTAAGGGTAAGTGTATGGTTTTTGTTTTCTTTAAAAGAAAGAAACTAAAAAGGGTGCTGGGTTCGGGTACCTGAAAGTCGCGAACGTTTTTTTTTCTTCCTCAGCCTTCCCCTAAAAAAATAAATCCAAGACCTACTTTGTAGTAGTAGTAGTAGTAGTAGGTATTGCTTGATCCAACACACACACACACACGCCTTTAAAAGTCCTCACGCACACCGGCCCCCCCCTCCCCTTAATTTATCAAGGATCCAACTACACTGTAGAATTGACCTCTACTAATTCTAATCATTTAAAAGATGAATCCGAGACCCAAACATGGCAAACGACGAAAAAGCTAAAGGGAAACTCAATTTTGGGAAGGGCAAAAAAAAGTGAAACACTCTTTTTTTTTTTAGCGTCGATCACTTGGGGCCGACTGCCGCTCACTCAAACTCACTCTACAGAGCGCTGATATAGATATTCACCCATTCACATATATTTATGCGGGTGGTACACCTACATATACTACTACTTACCTGTAGTAGCACAAAGAGGGTCTGAACGCTCTTTTACAATGAAAACCAGATCTTTGGAGAGAGGGCAAGTTGGGAAAAGAAAAGTCCGCTACGTCTTATCGATAAAACGGCGACGAAATCCGGGGAAAGCAGTGAACACGCAAACAGAGTTCAAAGGAGTGGATTGTACAGTTGTGTGTAAAAGGAAGCAGACGGTGTGCGTTATCGATTTCTACCCTTCCATTGATAATTATCCACGCCCGGTAGAATGCTTTTCACCCTTCCATGTGATTCACACCCACCCACCCACACACACACACACAGAGAGCATTGTGTAATGACGACAGTGGTGGATGAGGGGGGGGGTGGGGTCGATGACATACTTTTTCTACTACGTTCTCTCAACCCCCACCCGAGCATTCCCATACGTCAAAACAGTCAGGGTGACCCTTTTATGGTTGATTTTGTTCATATCGATAACGTACAGCAACCCCCACACAGAAAACCATACCATGCTGCATCCATACTTTGAGAGGGGAGGGGGAGGGTTTCTCTCCTTTCCGATGGCGGTTTGTACTTATTTGACAAACCCCATATCTGGGAAGGATCGGACTTTGCAGGGTTGTGTATGTAGAATCAAAAAGCGAAACGAGCCTGGCCGGACCGCAGATCGTGCTGTGCGGCTATTGCTGCTATTGCTGCTATTGCTGCTGCTGCTGCTGCTGCTGAAGATGGTTGTGTTTCGGGAATTATTATACTAGAGACTACTTATGATACCACAAAAATGCTAGTAAAACTCAGACCAACGGAACGTTAAAGAAGTGCACAGAAAAAAATAAATTGAGTTTTGTGCATAATTTCGATTCGTTCGTGAGAAAACATTTCGGTCTGCTTGTGTGTGTGTGTGTGTGTGTGAGCAGCATGGACGTCGGGGGGGGGGGGGAGGGGAGGGGAAGGGTAGAATTCAAAAAAATAATAATAATCACATATCAATTCCCATATCCATACAAATCGATAAACTTTTGATTACACACCCCCATGCGCGCATGTGTGTCGTGTGTTGTGTGCGTACAGAAAAAAAGAGGGGTCTCTCTCTCTCTCTCTCTCTCTCTCTCTCTCTCTTATCGGGTCTGATCCACACTTATTGATGCGTGACCTACCAAGAAAAGAAAATCAGATCCCGTATGCCGCGATTGGCCGGATATGTCCATTCCCCCATGACGACGTCAAGAAGTCAATACGCTTCTAATTCACAATTTTCTGCCCTATCATTCATCCCATCTTCCGAGACCATTTCAAATATAAATACCCCACCCCCTTCTCTCTCTCTCTCTCTCTCCTTATCCTTGCTTCATATCATCTTTACAACAACCATAAAGTACTCCTACTCCTTGATACAAACACATAACAGCAATCTAAACCTGTAACAAAACATGACCATCGAATACATCTCTCTCAACCCCTCTGGCGACAAGATGCCCTTGATCGGCTTTGGCTGCGCAAAGATTCCTCCTGAGCAGACCGCCGAAGTCATCTACAATGCAATCAAGGTCGGCTACCGCTTGTTCGACGGCGGCTCCAACTATTACAACGAAAAACAAGTCGGCGACGGTATTCGCATGGCTATCAACGACGGTTTGGTCGAACGCAAAGAGATATTCGTCATTTCAAAGCTCTGGTGCACCAACCACGCCAAGGAACATGTCCGTCAAGCATGCCAACGCAGCTTGGATGACTTGGGCCTGGAGTATATCGACTTGTATCTCATTCACTGTAAGTATCATTATTATTTACACGTTCATTCAATATATGTGTATGTGACTAACTGATCGACACTTGATAGTTCCTGTCGCTCTTGAACACGTTCCGATGCACGTCCGCTATCCAGCCGGATGGACCCAACCGGGCGAGAAACAAGTTCGACGTGCTCGTGTTCCCATGCACGTATGCTGGGCTGCTATGGAATCCCTTGTCGACGACGGACTTGTACGCAACATTGGCATGTCCAACTTTAACGCACAGCTCATGATGGACTTGCTTTCATACTGCCGCATCGAGCCAGCACTTTTGCAAGTCGAATTGCACCCTTACCTCCAGCAAGACGCCTATGTCAAGTGGATCCAAAAGCAAGGCATTGCCGTCACCGCCTATTCATCCTTTGGTCCCGCTTCTTTCGCTGCAGGCGGTCTCAAGCACGCCAAGTCGGTCGAGTCCTTGTTCGATAACCCGGTCATCAAGGAGATTGCTGCCAAGTACAACCGCGACCCTGGCCAGATTGCCCTTCGCTGGTCCCTCGAACGCAACGTGGGCGTTGTTCCCAAGAGCACAAGCGTCAGCCGTATGAAGAGCAACTTGGATGTACTCAACTGGAAGATGGACGAAGAAGATATACAGGCCATCAACCAGCTCGATATGGGTCTTCGATTCAACGATCCAGTCATCAAGGGTTGGGACCTGCCCATTTTCTTATAAAAGCCGATATCCCCTCCTTTAACAAAAACACTTCCATTCATCATCTCTTATAATCTTCCATCTCTCTCTTGATTAAAAAAGCAAATGCTTCGATAACCGTTCCGAATTCTGCATCCCCCCACATATACACCCGGATTTTTCCCATACATTCTATATACATATAGTTTCTGACTACAGCATATTTTTCTGCACACTTGTACATTCCAAAAATAAATGGCAGCATTATTATATCAAAGAAATTCAAGAAACAAATTCCTTGTGTAATGTCACCTTTAGTCTTCTTTGCCAAGTATCATTGATATCTTTTTCCATAGAGTCATCACCAGTAGGCTTTTGTTTCCCATGGGCGTTTCTGTCTTTTATACTCATCATCTTTCTGCCGATTCAATAATCACAAGCTCGCATCCGTAAGCTATTGACCATCAATATCTCGTCCTAGCCACACTGACCTAGATCTCTCAGGTCATTTCCATGAAAGTTCGGGATTGCCGCTTCATTATCCCGCTCACTAGGTCCAAAGTAAAAGTGTTATGCGGAATAGTATACGCAGCTTCTTGACGGCTACTGATGATGATATTGGATTGAGCAGTCGTATCCGTTTATAACCAAAGCTCTTTTTTAGCCCACACACACACACACTATAGTCTACAAAGCATCATGGAGACTGACAACTTTTTATGACAGTATCTATCTTATTGAAAGAATTGAAATACTACTGTACCAGCATCACAACATGCTGCTGTGGATAATCATAATTAATGAGGGTTTTTTTTTTGTTTACCTTGGCGGATAGACAGCAACGTTGGTTTTGCTTGGACTTTTGACAGTAAATAGCATATGGCTTTGCAGCCAACCCACCTGATGCTGGTATTTTTTTAGGTGGAAATCGCAAAAGTTGTCGTCATAGTAACCCAATGCGTCCAAGCGCCTGGGGGGGGGGAATGGCCTCATTTCACGTTGTGTCACGTTTCAATCGTTTCAGGCGCCGCAGTATCGCCCATTGCGCTTGGACCTCCCTCCCCCAAAACACCAGCCGATCTTCTATTGTTATTAATAGTATCATCGGGACTACCACACAATTTAAAGCTTTTATGCTGCTTGGGCATGAGGGAATATTTTCGTCTCTGGTTTTTGTAATTGACTACACTTGTTGGCTGGGCTGCGTGCCATACACATCTTCCTTTATTTTTTTACAGGCCGTTGGTTTTGCAGTGTTGCACAGTACAGAAGATAATACAGTGCACTCTAATGTATCGGCCAGACACGGATGGTAAACAGGGAAGACGCTATATATCTTGTTAGTTGATGACAAGCCAAAAAGTTTCGGCCGCAGTGTTCAGAAAGGGAATTTCCAAACATCCTGTCTCTGGTCTTGCCACACACACACACACACATACATTCTCGCGCCACCACAAGCATAACACATGATGGTGGTGGCAAAGTATGGTTTGTAGTAACTCCTCGGGCGACATGATGAATCGCACGTGGCAACAATGTGCCTCGCAGCAGAGAAAACAGACTTGCATTATCGAATTCATTTATCTGGAGCTTACCCGATATATTTGCAAATGGACACACATGATTTAACGCATGATACTTGCCTACGTGAGCAATGCATCATAAATCCTTTTCCTTTGGTGCTATCTCATGCTCTATATCCACTTCTTCTACTTATATGCCTTCGTCTGCATCAGGATGTTCTTGTTCGTGTCGCTCAACTGGTCTTTCGGGTTTATTCAACTTCTCAAAAATTATAATGACGGTTATAAACAAGCGGCTACATGGAGTAGTAAAATATATTTTCGGGAGAAAAACTGGGTATTGCATAAAAAATGAATGGTTACTACTTCAATGAAAATGGATCGAATGATTTGGAGAATACACATAATTGCAAACTTTGAAAGACTGTGATTCCTAGGGAAGATACGATCCTACTGAAATCAAACATCTCTAATGGTGCTTTTCATTTCGGATGACATTGGGCAGAAAAGCCCGCAATCACGTCAAACGATTCAAGTATAAGTCCCGTCACTCAGAATCAATAAAGCCGCTGATTATTGGTTTCCGATGGTTTACTTTTGCGCTGCCTTTATCTCACAGGTCTTGCAAATTGCTCAGTATTTCAAACAGTTGTATAAGATGATTTTGCTCAGCTTGCGAACTTGGACTGAGCAACACACCGTAATCATTTGTGACTATTTCGCGTGTTATTGAATAGTATCAATAGAGATGCGGTACACTTTTTTATCTGGTTATAATAGCGCCTCACACCCTTATCACATAGCAGTTTCAATTGCACAGTAAAGACATGGCATCTATCTTATCGACATGCTGTTTGATTTTTGCAGTATAAATAAAAACATGAATATGGCCTTATTTGCTAGTAAGCTCCCTGTGTGGATTGAAACCGTATTATAGACAAGATTAAACAAGGCTTAGATAAGCCCGATAAAGTGTATGCTTGCTGTTGTATACTGAATGCTGTATTAGTAAATCAAACAAGTACAACGAGCTACAATCATCCATGCGCTATGTTCCTGCAGGCGCTGCCTTTTTTTTTCGCATGAATAAAGTTTTCATTGGACAATATAGTGTCGCCGCGAAAAAAGACAAAAATCAGTGCATTCCTAATGTGAGGGAGTTATTCAGTTAGAAAAGCAGTGTTGGTGGCCAGTTTATATATTCAAATATAAAATAAGACACGTAAAAAACTCTCTGGTAATGCAATAGCAGTGGTTAGTAGGCAAAAGAATATTTTTAAGTGGCAAAGAAGTACGGTCAATTGGCGGAGCATATATTTTGACTGTTTAAGATGAAGTGTGCTCCTTATCTCTTTTTCCCCACGCTTACACCTTTCTGCCATGGCACAAGAAGACTATAAAGCAAACCGTGTCATCAAGACGCCAGTGCATCGACTGCGCCGCCGACCCCAAGCAGCACCATTGACACCACCAGTACTACCACCGTTGCAAACAATCTCGCCACCGCCTGCTGTGGTACCAGAAGAGCCAGAACAAGAAGAACCAGTCCACCCGACACTGCTTGAGTTGTACGAATTGAACAAGGCAGAAGCAGAAGAGCGGGAGCGGCAGCAAGAAGAGGAGCAAAAAGTACCGCCACCATCGTGCCCTGCCAAACGTCGTCACGAACTGCAACAACAACAACAACAACAACAACTTCCTGCTTCCCAAGCTTTGCCGGATATCGACGAAGACGACGAAAAATGGCAAGTAACTGACATTGTTTCATCGACCGTAGCATAACTGACAGATACGCGTCATTAAATGATCGTTTACTTTCTTAGAGTCGGAAAAGGCCTTATTTCCCTTCTTTCTTCTTTTTTTCTTTTATAAATAAACACCAGAAACCGCATTACGTTCTTTCCTTCATCATGTAGAATTTTTAATGACCTGTAAGCGAAATTTATTTGTCCGACATAGTGTTCGAACAAGTGACTGAATGCCGGTTTTGATACAAAAGGGATATATACAGAGAGAAAAATACATCAAAGAGAGAAAGAACACGAAAGAGAATTCCTTAATGGTGCGTGCGTTTGTAAAAATAACTAAAGCTTTGGCAGCGATAGTTATAGATATAAAGGGCTGAGAATCGAATATGAAGGTCCAAGTGGGCAGACCCTACCGCTTTTAGGATGGCAATGCAGAGAAGAGCTGATTGAGTTTTGTGTGGTGACCCTGCCAAAAAATTGAAACTGCCGTGTAAAGGCAATCGTGGAAGTATTGCAGATTCGGATCGGCGTAGTAAAATCTGTGTCCATAAGCGGTGCCAGAGACCAGCTCTTTTTGTGGGCACGTAAAAAAGAAAATGGGTAACATCTTCGAGACAGGCGCTTGACATTAAGCTCATCATGCATTTTTAAAAAAAAACCCTAGAAGCTGCTATATGATTTCTCATGCGTCAGCCCTTCCCCTATACCATGACAGGTTGTGCTGGCCTTGGTAAGTTCAACAGTACCAGAGACGATCAAAAAGGAGATGGAGCAGGGCTGGTAAGATGAACAAACGTATAGAGACTGATAATCCCCTGCTACTAATAATATGGAAATCAATTTATCCTTTGTCCATGAGACATTTGAGAGCACCCAGTATGGAAGTTCATGTGAATCATTTGATGCATGATGCCCTAGCAAGATATACGCGATTGCCGTACATTACAGTCAATTCTATGGCTGGTCCAGCGCTAGGCGGCGGTACAGGAATCATTACGGCATTCGACTATGTCTGCATAGCGTCGACTCCATATGTAAGCTTTGTTTAAACAGAAATGGGCGTGAACTCACATTGGGATGATAAAGATGTTAGCAAAATTCATCATCATGAAAACAGCCCAATTCAATTAAAGATTCATGCTGCTAACAAAGCTGGTGCACGCCATTTAGTGAATAGCATCAGTCGCAAAAGGCATTATTGATATTCGGCAGTGCACCCAAGGTTGATTCTGCAATGGCAAAAGAGCTGGGACTAGCCGACGTAGTCATGATATCAACGACGACGGCGATGATGACACGTGATGCAGATATATCATATATGATGTCTGCCTCAAAGCAAGCACGACGTTCCTCTTTAACGACCGAACCCATGAGCGCGTGACAACCGGTGCAAACCGTGGCACGTAGAGACTACTGGTTGTAAGAGCAGATTATATTGTCGTAATTAACAGGATTATCTGGGGTTGTTGATAATATTAGAATAAATGACAGGTCCAAAAGAAGGCTTACTGAAAAGTATGTGCTTACTCTTTTTGCTGGGGCAGGAGGGGTTGTTGGGTAGTGGTTTGTTGATATGGCTACACAGGCGCGCGTACTTATATATCAATGGCTGGCTTTATAAAAAAATCATATAGAACCTATAGACGCTACTATATGGATGGCCATTCCTTATCCAAGACTTGGTGCAAAGGCTCTTCTTGTCATTGGCCAAGGTACAATATATACTGCTTCCTCCCTTTGCCTTTTTTCTATAGCAAGTTGACCCTCTTCTATATCCCTTTCATTTGTTTCTCTTTTTGAATGACATTTCCTTTTGTGCCAAACGATCAAGACATCATCACATTTATTTAAGGCAGAGATACTTAGCACAGACCATTACTAAGCCAGCAAGAACTGCATCGACGAATCGGCATTTTCAAAAAAAGAAACAAAATAATTCATGGAAAAGGACAAAAAAGAGATCATATATTCTAAGCAACTACTAGATGGAAGACATAGTCTGTGTTTAGGCTAGATACAAGTTGATGCCAATAAAACAAGCCGTTGCATATTGCTTCCCCGTATAATCAATGAAAAACCAGTATCTTGTCTTCAAACTGCGCAGCTGCTAGGAGAGAACTGAGACCATATAGATCGCCCCAGCTGTACAGCAACAGTTACTTGACCCGACCCGTCAAGGCGTAGTCAACATGTAGGGCCTTGCGTTACCTGTAACTATTGGTACTCAATTATCAAAACCAAATCACATAGAAAATATCTTCCGCATGCTTCAAAAGAAGTTCAACACACATAGATTAAACCACTGAACAAAGATTATTTGAATTGTCATGAAAGAACAGGTGTTGCCACGCCAACTCACTTTATCTTTAATTCCTGGACGTCACAATCAGCTAGTATCACCAAAACCGCAGTAATGGTTATACTGAGCAAATTTTTGCGGCCCCAGTAATTCATGGCTGGATCCCTAAACATATCGTATAGAATGTCTTCACTTTCAAAAGCATGTTGTAACGTCGATTCAGTGGGAAAGGTATTAGAACCATTACTTGTCGCGTTTGTTAAAGAACAATGAAAACTTGTTTATCATGATGAGCTTAATGATTGCTGTTGTAAGTGACGATAATAATATTAATGAATTGGTGGAGGATTTAAAACATAGTAAAGTTGCATTGTTTTTGGTAGATGGTGTTATTTTCTTTGTTTCTGTTGTTGTTGACCTTGACATACTACTTTTTTTTTATTGCAAAGATTACTGGTCATTTTCAGGGGTCTGTACTGCTTCAGATGATTTTGGAATGCATGGCTCGGTGATGTAACTACTGCGAATAGACATTCTCTTTTTGTTGCGAAGGAACTGGAAACACAATTCGGCATTTTTTGAAACCATCCGCTACATCATTGTATAAATTTTAAATGATTAGCTATGTTATAGAAAGACGCATACACATTGCAAAACCATAAAAAAGAGATTCTATAAGATTTTAAAAATATTTACCTCCATTGTCGATAATGCTTTAAAACTGTGTAAGAGAACGCCAAAATCGTGGCGATCCCGAGGGATGTAGAAAACTTGCAAAGGAATGAAACGGTAGATTTTTTGGTATTTTAGATCCATGACAAATAGCGTGCATCGGAAACCTAGGGCAAGATTTTTCGTTATGAATCTGATCTACGCGATTGCCCCATTTAATATACTGAGATGTAGTTTTATGTTTGTGCGGAATTCCTTGCATATTTGTATTATAAACAACGCAAAATTGAAAATAATCAAGTGCAAACATAAAATTACATCTTACTCAAACTTTAGGAAGAAACCAATAGCCTACCTTCAATAAGCAGACCTGAAACAGTTATTTCAGGATCGTCTACACCGTCATTAATCATTTTGTCAATTGAATCCTTCATTTGTAGAGCAAGTTTGATTAAGTCCGGTCTGCTTCCTGTTCGAACTTTATGCGGAGGCTTGATTTCAGCAATTAGGAGACGTTGCATGGGCATGGCTCCGCATTCAAAGTTCATCGATAAATCTGGGAACACATAGCCCTTTTTATGGTTGGTTTCTTTTTCTTTGCGGGATGCTTTACCGTCAGTTCTAAATATGCATAAAGAAGTTAGAAAATGTACTCCTTGAAAAAAAGGATAATCACTATGTCATTATTCATTTAATATTTTACCCAATTCTCGTCAACAAATGGGTTTCCTTAAAGAATGGAAGCATCAACGGGTATACACTTGAGATGGAAAAAGTGCTCTCCAATCTATCCGTATTTTTTGCTGATTCTGGAGAATATGACGATATGCTAAAATCAACGAATATGGGTATAAGTACGTATATATACTTCAAGCAAATGGATGAATCTTTATATTTATCGGCCTTAATTGCATAAATGATAACGTACATATTGCGCAGCGATTCTCGGATCTGATCTTTGTTGTTCAGTTTCTCAACAATCTTGTCGCATTTATCGAAATTTTCAGCGCCAGCCTATCGTCATTCACAAGTATTGATAGTTAATAAGCATTTCTTTATCAAAACGACAATTACTACCCTTACCTCCGCAAATTTTTTTATGATTTTTTTAGTTTTTTTTGACAACGATTGAGCGGGATATAGCTCCTTGCATTCATTCATAACCGCTTGCCAGGTGTCACGATCAAACCCATACACTGATGAGCAATCCGGATAAACGCAGTTCAAGTCATCAAATAAAAAAATACCATTGAGAGAACTAGAGGTATATTTTAGTCAAGTTAATATATAATAAAACATACTGTTGCTAGTTAGAGGTCAGTTACTTACAGCTCTTCTTGATAAATGTCCAGCACTTGTTTCTCTCCCTTTTTGATGCTTTCTTCTCGGTATTTAAGTAACAGTTCGGAAACCACTACTCCATTGACTTCCCACTGTAAAATTAAGTATTAGCATCCGTTACATTTTTGGAAATAGATTGAACATATTACCTTCTCAACTTCAGGGTCCAATGTTACGCCGGGTACCATGTTCTCAGAAAGATATATGTTTAACCTTTTTCGCTAATTGAATAATGGCAGATAGACATTTGGAAATACTTGATTAATATGTGGTTACAACGTTATTTACTACAATTTACATACACGTTTATTAGTACTTTCTGTACTGCTTGTGGGGACCGGTGTGTCTTCTGCGACTGAAGATGATGGGGCGGATGATGGTAATGATGATGATGATGGGGCTGCAGGTTCTTCGCGACCCCTTTTCCCAAGCGATCCCTGATTAATAGAAATCAAATTAAGTGTGTGTAATGCATGGAACAATGCACAAAGTATTACCTTGCCCTTTGATTGCTCGGTGCTGGAGAGAATCTAATTTATTATAAAAGGTATGAGCTTTATCTTTCACAGAAAAATGGTAATTTCATTCAATATTTACCTTCTTCACGATATCATCCCAATTTGGTTGCTCCTTGCTGTACTCCTATATAAATATATATTAGCATATCATCAGTGTAGCAATTTATGTTTTATACCTTTATGTTACTGTCAGTAACCATTTTTTTGAAGGACATAGTCCAGAAATTTTTTATGTCATCGACTCCTTGGCTGTTGCTGAGAATGACATGAGGAGCGAAGTCGTGGAATCTCTTCAATGAGACTTTGCCTTTTTCCTCTACAATGTATTTATCAAAATCTAAAAGAAATATACATTTAGAGCTTATATTCGATGCGTTATACCCATCGCAACTTACACTTTTTAAAGATTTCAATTCTGTTAGCCATGTTAACAAAACGAGGAAGAGTAGCTATGCAACAGACAATAATGAACTATGCAAAAACGAGGACGAGTAGCTATGCAACAGACAATGCGCTAAGCAACAGCCGCAGCATATTTAAACATCGCTATAAGCCTCATTTTCTGCAGATCCCAGCTACGTCAGGTTTGGCCTTTGTTTAGTGTTTTACAAAAATGATTACGAAGAATTCGTGGTTGCTACAGCTAACTACAAAGCTAAGTACGATGATATGTTTTTTCTCATAGTAGTTTCATGTGGAACACTAGGACGTACGTCGGCCTAGTCCCTCAGCATTAATCTGCGCCCTTTTCTTCAGAGTTTGTGATGTGGGATGCTGGGTACTCGAGCGGATGAATGTGGACCACTAGGACGTACGTCGGCCTAGTCCCTCAGCATGAATCTGCGTTCTTTTCTTCAGAGTTTGCGATGTGTACTGCTGAGCATACTCGAGTGGATGAATGTGGACCACTAGGACGTGCGTCGGTCTAGTCCCTCAGCATTAATCTGCGCCCTTTTCTTCAGAGTTTGTGATGTGGAATGCTGGGTACTCGAGCGGATGAATGTGGAACACTAGGACGTACGTCGGCCTAGTCCCTCAGCATGAATCTGCGTTCTTTTTTTCAGAGTTTGCGATGTGTACTGCTGAGCGTACTCGAGTGGATGAATGTGGACCACTAGGACGTGCGTCGGTCTAGTCCCTCAGCATTAATCTGCGCCCTTTTCTTCAGAGTTTGTGATGTGGAATGCTGGGTACTCGAGCGGATGAATGTGGAACACTAGGACGTACGTCGGCCTAGTCCCTCAGCATGAATCTTCGTTCTTTTCTTCAGAGTTTGCGATGTGTACTGCTGAGCATACTCGAGTGGATGAATGTGGACCACTAGGACGTACGTCGGTCTAGTCCCTCAGCATTAATCTGCGCCCTTTTCTTATGTTATTTTACTATACACTTGGTTAAGCAAAGCACATATTAGATACTAATACTCGATTGTATTTTCGCCTCAATCAATAGTATATTTTTCATCGATGGTTTGACATATGTCTATTCAAACTGGCTTATTGAGCATATAGGATCGAGGAATTGACTTGGAGTTCTGTTGCCAACGAATGGGCCTGAATTAATCATATTCAAACTAAGCATTTTTAACAGAAGCAGATAACAGCAAATTGTTGGCCAAAGTATCAATCAACATTATCGAACAGTACAATTCTCCCATTGGTCGTGATAATATTATCACTTGTGATATCGTTCCCCCCACATGGTAGCAGTAAATATGGAATAAACATGTTTTAAGTAAACACAAAAAATGCTCTTTCTAAATAAAACATTTACGCTACATACATTAGTGTTAAGTTTTCTTGGCTCAAATTCGTAGTCATGGATGAATAGCTTAAATTTGTTTGGATTGACTCTTTAATTACACAATGATACTAGTTCATTCCCGTACAAGTAGACGAATGTGTGTGTTCGTTTCATTGTTAGAGAAAAAGGTTTCTTATGATAATGTTGCCTTGTTTCTAGTAGATCATCTTAAACGTTACTGCTGTGTGTGGTGGGAAGAAGGTTAAATAAACGAATTCTCCTCTTATAGTTTCTTATTATAATTTGTTTTTAATGGTTACTTTCAGCAAGAACAATAACACATGTATAGTTATAAACCTTCATGGAAAGCACTATTGGGACAGTAATGGGCGATATGGAAGCTGGTGCACGCCATTTAGTGAATAGCATCGGTCGCAAACGGCATTATTGATATTCGGCAGTGCACCCAAGGTTGATACTGCAATGGCAAAAGAGTTGGGACTAGCCGACGTAGTCATGATATCAACGACGACGGCGATGACGGCACGTGATGCAGATATATATATGATGTCAGCTTCAAAGCAAGCACGGCGTTCCTCTTTGACGACCGAGCCCATGAGCGTGACAACCAGGTGCAAATCATGGCACGTAGAGACTACTGGTTGTAAGAGCAGATTATGTTAGCGGAAGTAGCAGGATTATCTGAGGTTGTTGATAATATTAGAGTAAATGACAGGTCCAAAAGAAGGCTTACTGAAAAGTATGTGCTTACTCTTTTTGCTGGGGCAGGAGGGGTTGTTGGGTAGTGGTTTGTTGATATGGCTACACAGGCGCGCGTACTTATATATCAATGGCTGGCTTTATAAAAAAAATCATATAGAGCCTATAGACGCTACTATATGGATGGCCATTCCTTATCCAAGACTTGGTGCAAAGGCTCTTCTTGTCGTTGGCCAAGGTACATATACTGGTTCCTCCCTGTGCCTTTTTTCTTTAGCAACTAGAACCTCTTCATTGCTTCTCTTTCTCAATATCCTTTTGTTCCGGACAATCAAGACATCACTACATTTATTAAAAAAGGATGGAAATATCTAGCACAGATCACCAACAAGCCAGCAAGAACTGCATCAAAGGATCAGCATTTTCAAGATAAAAGAACAAATAATTCATAAAAAAAGACAAAATGGAAATCATATGTTCAAAGTAACTACTGGATAGAAAATATAGTCCGCGCTAAGCTAGATACAAGTTGATTCCAATAAAACGAGCAAATGGATATTGCTTCCCCTTTCAATCAATAAAAAACCACCAGTATTTTGTCTTCAAACTGCACAGCTGCTACGAGAGAACTGAGACCATATAGATCGCCCCAGCTGTGCAGCAACAATTACTTGACCCGACCCGTCAAGGCGTAGTCAACATGTAGGGCCTTGCGTTACCTGTAACTATTGGTACTCAGTTATCAAGACCAAATCACATAGAAAGTATTTTCCGCATGCTTCAAAAGAAGTTCAACACAGATAGATTAAACCACTGAACAAAGATTACTAGGTAATCTTACATACTTCAATTGTCATAAGCTAAAGAAAAACAAATAAGGTATTGGTGAAGGAACAGGTGTTGCCACGCCAACCCACTTTATCTTTAATTCCTGGATGTCACAATCAGCTAGTAGTATTACCGCCTCCGCAGTAATGGTTGTACTGAGCAAATTTTTGCGGCACCAGTAATTCGTGGCTGGATCCCTAAACATATCATATAGAATGTCTTCACTTTCAAAAGCATGTCGTAACGTCGATTCAGTGGGAAAGGTATTAAAACCATTACTTGTCGCGTTTGTTAAAGAACAATGAAAACTTGTTTATCATGATGAGCTTAATGATTGTTGTTGTAAGTGACGATTGGTGGAGGATTTAAAACATAGTAAAGTTGCATTGTTTTTGGTAGATGGTGTTATTTTCTTTGTTTCTGTTGTTGTTGACCTTGACATACTACTTTTGTTTTATTGCAAAGATTACTGGTCAATTTCAGGGGTCTGTACTGCTTCAGATGATTTTGGAATGCATGGCTCGGTGATGTAACTACTGCGAATAGACATTCTCTTTTTGTTGCGAAGGAACTGGAGACACAATTCGGCATTTTCTGAAACCATCCGCTACATCATTGTATAAATTTTAAGTGATTAGCTATGTTATAGAAAGACGCATACACATTGCAAAACCATAAAAAAGAGATTCTATAAGATTTTAAAAATATTTACCTCCATTGTCGATAATGCTTTAAAACTGTGTAAGAGAACGCCAAAATCGTGGCGATCCCGAGGGATGTAGAAAACTTGCAAAGGAATGAAACGGTAAATTTTTTGGTATTTTAGATCCATGACAAATAGCGTGCATCGGAAACCTAGGGCAAGATTTTTCGTTATGAATCTGATCTACGCGATTGCCCCATTTAATATACTGAGATGTAGTTTTATGTTTGTGCGGAATTCCTTGCATATTTGTATTATAAACAACGCAAAATTGAAAATAATCATGTGCAAACATAAAATTACATCTTACTCAAACTTTAGGAAGAAACCAATAGCCTACCTTCAATAAGCAGACCTGAAACAGTTATTTCAGGATCGTCTACACCGTCATTAATCATCTTGTCAATTGAATCCTTCATTTGTAGAGCAAGTTTGATTAAGTCCGGTCTGCTTCCTGTTCGAACTTTATGCGGAGGCTTGATTTCAGCAATTAGGAGACGTTGCATGGGCATGGCTCCGCATTCAAAGTTCATCGATAAATCTGGGAACACATAGCCCTTTTTATGGTTGGTTTCTTTTTCTTTGCGGGATGCTTTACCGTCAGTTCTAAATATGCATAAAGAAGTTAGAAAATGTACTCCTTGAAAAAAAGGATAATCACTATGTCATTATTCATTTAATATTTTACCCAATTCTCGTCAACAAATGGGTTTCCTTAAAGAATGGAAGCATCAACGGGTATACACTTGAGATGGAAAAAGTGCTCTCCAATCTATCCGTATTTTTTGCTGATTCTGGAGAATATGACGATATGCTAAAATCAACGAATATGGGTATAAGTACGTATATATACTTCAAGCAAATGGATGAATCTTTATATTTATCGGCCTTAATTGCATAAATGATAACGTACATATTGCGCAGCGATTCTCGGATCTGATCTTTGTTGTTCAGTTTCTCAACAATCTTGTCGCATTTATCGAAATTTTCAGCGCCAGCCTATCGTCATTCACAAGTATTGATAGTTAATAAGCATTTCTTTATCAAAACGACAATTACTACCCTTACCTCCGCAAATTTTTTTATGATTTTTTTAGTTTTTTTTGACAACGATTGAGCGGGATATAGCTCCTTGCATTCATTCATAACCGCTTGCCAGGTGTCACGATCAAACCCATACACTGATGAGCAATCCGGATAAACGCAGTTCAAGTCATCAAATAAAAAAATACCATTGAGAGAACTAGAGGTATATTTTAGTCAAGTTAATATATAATAAAACATACTGTTGCTAGTTAGAGGTCAGTTACTTACAGCTCTTCTTGATAAATGTCCAGCACTTGTTTCTCTCCCTTTTTGATGCTTTCTTCTCGGTATTTAAGTAACAGTTCGGAAACCACTACTCCATTGACTTCCCACTGTAAAATTAAGTATTAGCATCCGTTACATTTTTGGAAATAGATTGAACATATTACCTTCTCAACTTCAGGGTCCAATGTTACGCCGGGTACCATGTTCTCAGAAAGATATATGGTTAACCTTTTTCGCTAATTGAATAATGGCAGATAGACATTTGGAAATACTTGATTAATATGTGGTTACAACGTTATTTACTACAATTTACATACACGTTTATTAGTACTTTCTGTACTGCTTGTGGGGACCGGTGTGTCTTCTGCGACTGAAGATGATGGGGCGGATGATGGTAATGATGATGATGATGGGGCTGCAGGTTCTTCGCGACCCCTTTTCCCAAGCGATCCCTGATTAATAGAAATCAAATTAAGTGTGTGTAATGCATGGAACAATGCACAAAGTATTACCTTGCCCTTTGATTGCTCGGTGCTCGAGAGAATCTATTTATTATTAAAGGTATAAACTGGTCCCTCCGCTTCGCTTCCGGACGATGTGAGCCCCTCCGCTTCGCTGCGTGTCAGCATCTGTCCTCTAGGGATGCCCCCCTACCGCCCCCCAAATGTTCTTCAAACAATCCTGAAAATATGTTCTCAAAGTATTCTGCTTAATAATGATGTCGAAAACAGTTGTGGAAATTGTTTTTAAGAAAAGAATGCCGTCACTGCTTTAAAAAATGCCCAAAGTTAATACTTCATACACAGTAAGAATATTTGTATCATTTTACCGTGTCAACGCTAATTACCTGAGTTGATGCATTCCGTACTCTCTGATGATTCATGCCCAACACATCGGCAATCCTCGCAAATAATGAGGTGGTCGTGCAATTCGATGTACACCTCGCAACTGAACAGATCGTGTTCAGTTTCTTCGCAAAATTTACAGGTTAGAATCTTCAAAGGTGGAATTCTCTTGCTCTTGAAATGGGTCTTGGACATTTTGTTGAGATAGAAAACTTTGGACTTCATGAATGATGCGATGGTTACACGTTCAACCAAGCTCGCTCTACTTACTTAAGCAAAGACCGAAACCCTATTCTTTGTTACAATTTGGAGATGCATCCTCGATGTCGGTATCATTCGCAATCCAAGAACGAAAGCTTACATGGGCCAAGGATTCGCCGTTCTGGATATACAGCCACGACATAATCAACAACTCCACGCCCTTGATCAACATATTCCCTGGAGCGGCGACCAGGAAGAGTTGATCTATGCCAATTTTGATCAGATGCCGCTCCACTGCTCGCGCTGCCATGAGCCAGGGCATGCCGTTGCCGACTGCCCACGCGCCCGACGTAACCAGAAAGGATGCTTTAAGTGTGGTGCTCAGAGCCACTATGCTGCAAGCTGCCCCACTGTGCGAAACAGCGAGGACTGGACCCCTGGCGGCAACAAAACAAGCCGCCGCAAGACTGGTCACACGCGTGATCAAACCCCCTCGAAGGAGCTCCTGAAGTCTAAACACGCGAGCGTAAAAGGCAAGCCCGTGGAACCGACCAACCGGTTTGCTCCTCTGGAAAATTTGGATACCAATGACGACAAATTAGCAACAGACGCGGAAACCACCCAAGAAGAGGTGGTCGATTGCTCCCCCGCTTTCATGCGACGAGGGTAACTTGAACAAGCACTTGACGACATCGTCATAGAATTTGCGGACTATCAGACCGATAGACCGATGATCCCAGCTGAAGAACAAGATCTCGTTTCGGAAGTCAACCCCCCTAAGGACTGGATAGATAGCTGGAACTCTCGGACACTGCCAAGGAGATCCTACAAGATGCACACTTCCCCGCTGACCTGAAACAAGTCCTGTATGTCCGCCTCTCACGCCAACGCGATCAGCCTGCAAGGATATGAACAAAGTTTACTCTCAGACAACAGCTCGGGCTCCCCTTCCGACCCAAGCGCACGCGTACCAACAGCATCGCAATCCCAACCCTCACTCCACTCTCAACTCAATAATTTTTATGATAGTAAAAAACAACGATATCTCACTCGCGTCCATTAATTGCAATAAACTACTTACACTCAACAAAACACAACTCGTTCGACATATCAAACAACAGCAACCACATATCATCACTATGCAAGAAACACATATATCAACACCCTCTCAGAAGGACAAATTCCACCGTTATTTCAATCATTCTGGACACATCATTGCGGCATCGTATCACTTAGCGCCGACCTCAGTCTCACACCAATCTCAGTATTCGATAACCCTCAACATCTTCTCGTTAAAGTCGAACACCACCAACGACTTTTTCAGCCTTTTTATATACTTACCATCTATGCACCAGCAACGTCGCCAACCCAACGACGGCAATTTTTCACATCCCTCTACAACTCAACCATCTTAATCAACAACATCCCTATCGGAACGATTGATTCTCTCTGAGGATTTCAACTATAGCGACCAACGCTCAGGGTACCATCTCAACGCACCGTCAGCCTGGTTCACTATGCTACAACAACACTTCATCAACTGCATCAACCCAGATCCGCAAGAGACACCGCAGCCGACGTTTCGTCGAGGTGATAGTACGATTTCCACCATTGACTACATCTATGCCGCTTCACCAGTTTTCCACAATACGGTAAAGACCAGGGAAGTATCATATGTTGCCAGTTCATGGTCCGATCATGGGAGGAACTGAAGCGTCTACTAAAGCAGCAGATGCAACAGTATTGCCGGCAACGCATCAATAAAACAACAGCTTACCTCAAAAAACTACAATCGAAACGCAACCGGTTTTTACGGTCAAATCCACCCATCGCTACACGCATATGGTTCTTAAAGATAACTGAACAACAAATATCAGCAGCACAACATGAAGTTTGCGATACCCTCGCTTTACGTGCAGGAAAGCGCTGGCGGGAGCAAGGCGAGAAATCTGCTGGTTATCTCAAGCGAACCATACAACAACGCACGTCACAGGCCAACATTGTCACTCTACAACATCCTCACACTGGCGACATATGTAACACAGTGGAATCGATGCATTCAGCCGCAACAGCTTTCTATGAACAGTTGTATACCTCCGACGACGTTGACGACTCGGCTATCCAACAACTGCAGCACAACATACCATCCTCAGCACACTTCAGCACCAGCAGCAAAGAAAGCCTAGTCGATCCCTTCAGCATTGAAGATCTCCAAGACGGAGCTAAACGAGCCCCACGCCAAAGTAGCCCTGGAACCGACGGTTTACCATACGGCATATGGAGGCTCGTATTCAAACACCCGGCAGCCAAAACACTTACATGTCAAGTATATGACGATGCATTGAAAAATGGTCTTTTTCCTGATTCTTGGACCGAAACCTGTATCCGTCTCCTCCCAAAAAAGGGCGATCTGACTACACTCAAGAATTGGCGGCCGATTAGTCTCGTCAATTGTGATTCCAAGATATACACACGGCTGCTAAATAAGCGCGTCGTGGTGGCCGCTGCACCCCTGATTAACCCACAGCAAACGGGATTCATGCCGGGTCGCTTTATTGCCGAAAATGGCCTAGCAGCACGCCTTGTCATGGAACATGCCTCAAGCAATACGTCGTCAGCCATTGGCCTCCTACTCGACCAGGAAAAAGCGTATGATAGGACCCATTCACAGTATTTAGTTCAAACTTTGCAACACTTTGCTTTTCCCGATCAGATTATTAACAGCATCAACTCACTGTTTTCCAACACGCGTATACGTATCAACATTAACGGTCATCTTAGCGCGCCATTTGCACAACAACGCGGATTGCGACAATGTGATCCACTGTCGCCGATCCTTTTCAACCTGGCTCTGGAGCCTTTTCTGCGCTCGTTACAAAGAGACGTATCATATCACGGATATGTCTTCACATCACCGAACAATGACATTGCACCAGCCACCATGCCCACCCCGAGCCAATTAAAACACTCGCCTACGCGGATGATATTCTTGTTTTCCTGCAATCTCCCGAGGATTTGCGCCGGGTTTTGTACCACATGGATGTCTATCAACGCGCTTCAAATGCCAAGTTCAATCAAGAAAAGACCCAAGCAATCTCGCTAGGAGGGGCACCACAACCTCGATGGAATGCTTTGCTACACCAACATGGAATTCTGCCTTGTCACGATCGTACACAGACCGACCCCGTCACATATTTGGGCTATCCACTGACCTCCTCAACTACCCAACTGAATACATTCATGAACCGGTTGCTGGAATCGGTCAAGAACCAATGCAACATTCACTTGAGCCGCAACTTGTCTATCCGCGGCCATGCCACCGTGCTCAACACCTTGATTTTGTCAAAACTATGGCATGTTCTGCGTATCATTGGCGCACCACTGTCAGGCTTCCACCAGAAACTGAGAAGCACCATCAGCAGCTTCCTAATGCATCGAATGTTCCCACGCGTGTCCTATCAGAAACTATGTGTACCACGACACCAGGGTGGGATTGGCTTATTGGACCCCATTTTAAGGTGACCTCAACCGATGCTGGATGAAAGCGGTATGTTCCCACAACATATTCTATGTCTGATCCATCGACTACTTGCCATCAAAAAGTATTCGCAGACCACCGGCTGGTCTTGTTCTCTCCAGCTAGTCGTAAACAACGAGCGTATGAATCAGCATCGCCAGTTGCCTTGGTCCTTCGTGCCATTGATGCGGCTGGTTTGTCCTGGGATACAGTCGACAACTTATCACCCGCAACAGCATTAGAATTACCACTCTCTGTCATCATTCAGCCATCATCCGACAACCCACCACCTAGACGACCAGGTTTCTCTAAATATCAGGTGAAGGATTCTTTCATCTTTAAGATCAGTCCCTTGGGTATATTCGCCTGCGCCAGCGCCAGCTTGACGACGACGTCAGACACCCGACGCTTCTCAATCAACTTAGACACGACGTAATCAATTTCCGCTATATCATTCGCCCTTTCTTTGCACGACTTTGCATTCACAGCACTAATGCACAAGATGGGCGTTTACATCAACCTGACTCTATCAACTTTCAACCACTAACCAACGCCATCAAAAATGACCCAGCGTTCACCTCGTGGCAAACCAAGGCGTACCGACGAAAACTCACTCCAGGAACACCCGCATCCCCAGTTT